TGTGGTACAGTACTGTAAATACTATAGATACAGTAGTTAAAGTACTTTGGTCCAAACATGTGTGTGTCGTGTTCAGGAGGAAACTGTAAAGAGCAGAAATAAAAAGCAGGATCTAAAAAGAACACAACTTTTATTTGGTCGTTTTAAATTCTACACTTTGTTCAAACTGAAAACACATTTTATTTAAAAACAGGTACATTTTATTTATCAAATCCTTTTACAGTTACTATCAAAGACAAACTCAAACTGGAGGGAACAGTAGTAAACAAACGCAGCTTTTGCATGTTCTCCTGACGCCGACTTTAAATATGTTTGAGTTGGAGGAGCCAGCTCCTTTCAAAAGGACGTCCATGGAATTAACAACAACAAAGAATCATTTTGGAAACAAATGAACAAATAACTTTCAGACGAAAATACATGAAATAGAAATGTTTTTGAGGTGAGTTTGGAACCTTTTGTTTTTCAAATGTGTGTTTGTGTGTTTCCCGTCACCTTTAGTGCATTGGAAAAATAACTATTTGTTTCCATTGTCAAGTTAAAATACCAAAAATAAATTAATATTTGATAGAACATAATAATAATCTTCAGATACAAAAATCTAAAACAAATCTCTTCCTGGACGCTGCAGGTGTCGGAGGCTAAACTAAGACTCTAAATAAATACAACGGATGAAATAAGAGCAGACCCTGGACGTGGAACACAAACAGAACTAGAACAGAACAAAATCATTAATTGCACTTTTTGAAACCACTCAGAGCTTGATCTCTTCAAACAACTTTAACTTCTGTAATGATGGAGTTATTGCACCGAGCAGTGACTCTGATCCAGTCAAAGTGGGATCAAAGTTTGCAAATGCTGGATGTGGCTGTGCTCTTGACAAACGCACTCAGAGCATTCAGAAATCTACTGCAATGACTCAGAGCTGCCAGCAGAGGGCGCCAACCCACGTCCACACACCTGCAGTCCCAGTGACGTCACATTGTTATTGCATGAAGTGTGCAGAGAGTGACAGTCACATGTGCTTCTGTAGTAAACGTCACCAAGGCTCAAAAAGAAAATGATATTGTTTGGTCTTAAACTAAAACCAGGTTTTACTCCTGGAACCATGTAATGTTGCAATTGGATCGTTGCTTGTTCTCTCACTGGTATTACCAGGATTCACCACATCAGCGATGGAATAAAGCTATTGATGCCAAACAACAAAGAACATCAAATACATCCATATCTCAAAGTGAAAAACACAAGAATCTTATGATTGGAAACAACAGGAATGTGAAGGATTTTGAAAACTTTAAAGATCCCACTTCCCCCCACTTTAAAGATGGGGGGAAGCAGGTGGGGGGAGGCAGGTGGGGGGAGGCAGATGGGGGGAGGCAGGTGGGGGGAAGCAGGTGGGGGGAGGCAGGTGGGGGGAAGCAGGTGGGGGGAGGCAGGTGGGGGGAAGCAGGTGGGGGGAAGCAGGTGGGGGGAGGCAGATGGGGGGAGGCAGGTGGGGGGAGGCAGGTGGGGGGAAGCAGGTGGGGGGAGCAGGTGGGGGGAAGCAGGTGGGGGGAGGCAGAGCAGGTGGGGGGAAGCAGGTGGGGGGAAGCAGGTGGGGGGAGGCAGGATGGGGGGAGGCAGGTGGGGGGAGGCAGTGGGGGAGGCAGGTGGGGGGAGGCAGGTGGGGGGAGGCAGGTGGGGGAAGCAGGTGGGGGGAAGCAGGTGGGGGGAGGCAGGTGGGGGGAGGCAGGTGGGGGGAGGCAGATGGGGGGAGGCAGGTGGGGGGAGGCAGGTAGGGGGAGGCAGGTGGGGGGAGGCAGGTGGGGGGAAGCAGGTGGGGGGAAGCAGGTGGGGGGAAGCAGGTGGGGGGAGGCAGGTGGGGGGAGGCAGGTGGGGGGGCAGGTTAGGAGGCTTTGTTATCACACATGATTAGGACGGTTGTGACACATGAAGAAGAGTGAAACACTGGACCTTTAAACGCCCGCCCAGGCCACACACAGATATCATCAGGTCTTTTGTACAGTCTTCCAATCCCCTTCCCCCAAAGTCTGAGCGCCAGATCTGTCTGCGAACTATCCACTTTTGGACCGTGCAAAAAGTCGAGAAAAGCCTCAAACGTCAAAGACCACATTAAACGCCGACTCGACTCTTTCTGGATCAAAAGTGTGAAACGAAAGGAAGCCTCACAGCAGTGGATCTCTGAAGGCAAAGTGCATCGCGACTGCACATGATCAAACCTCGTAGCTCCGCCCCCACGACGCAAACAATATCCCACTTTCTTCTCATACGTATAAAAAGTTTCCTGGATATTTATTTTTCAAGATGTTTGTGTGGAAAAGTTTACATTCGTCTGATCAGTCATGATTACGCCAAACTGAGACTGAAATGTTCCATTTTAGATCATTCCGTTTCGTTATCCTTCATACGCCGTCTGTGTACATTTCAGTCAATGTAATAAAAACAAAAGTGCTTAGACACAAAAAAGCCCACATATAAATCCAAGCGGCCATTTTGCTTGGAATAGTCCACAATCCATGGACTCAGAGAGACTGGGACCTCTGGGACCTCTCGGACCGCTCTCACCGGACTCATTGGTCGTTCATGTTTAACTCCACACCAAGAGACTGGACGTTTGAACATCTCGGCAAAGTTTCTGGATCAAATCTTTCCCCTTTTGAAAGTCTTAAGATGGCAAGAAAACCATTTGCTTGTGTCATGTTTTAATGGTTTTCTGACATTGGTGGATTTCCAACATGGCCGTCAGACGTTGACCACCTCGATGCAGTATTCTTCGGTCTCTGTGAACTGGGAGGAGTTTGTGTCGGACGGGGCGGGGACCAGGGCTTCTTTGTTCTCCAGACTGGGTTCCAGGAGTATGGGTTTGTCCAAGGCCAGCTTCTTACAGGAGTCCGGCCGGTTCTGAACGTAGATGACGCGGTTGTACGCTTTCAGCCTCCTCCATAGATGGATGTAGACCTTGCACTGGACGTACATGAAGACCAGGCCCCCAGTGAAGCCTATGGCCACCACCACCAGCTTGGTCCAGAACGGCCACTCCAGGATCCCTGAAGGAGGACACAGAAGCATCAAGGGCCAGGTCCAGAGGGAGACCAGAGGGAGACCAGAGAGAGGCCAGAGAGAGGCCAGAGAGAGGCCAGAGAGAGACCAGAGAGAGACCAGAGAGAGACCAGAGAGAGACCAGAGAGAGAGACCAGAGGGAGGCCAGAGGGAGGCCAGAGGGAGGCCAGAGAGAGACCAGAGGGAGACCAGAGAGAGGCCAGAGAGAGGCCAGAGGGAGACCAGAGGGAGACCAGAGAGAGGCCAGAGAGAGGCCAGAGAGAGGCCAGAGAGAGGCCAGAGAGAGGCCAGAGAGAGACCAGAGAGAGGCCAGAGAGAGGCCAGAGAGAGGCCAGAGAGAGGCCAGAGAGAGGCCAGAGAGAGGCCAGAGAGAGGCCAGAGAGAGGCCAGAGAGAGACCAGAGGGAGGCCAGAGGGAGGCCAGAGGGAGGCCAGAGGGAGACCAGAGAGAGGCCAGAGAGAGGCCAGAGGGAGACCAGAGGGAGACCAGAGAGAGACCAGAGAGAGGCCAGAGAGAGGCCAGAGAGAGGCCAGAGAGAGGCCAGAGAGAGGCCAGAGAGAGACCAGAGGGAGGCCAGAGGGAGGCCAGAGGGAGGCCAGAGAGAGGCCAGAGAGAGGCCAGAGGGAGGCCAGAGGGAGGCCAGAGGGAGGCCAGAGGGAGACCAGAGAGAGGCCAGAGAGAGGCCAGAGAGAGGCCAGAGGGAGACCAGAGAGAGGCCAGAGAGAGGCCAGAGGGAGACCAGAGAGAGACCAGAGGGAGACCACAGGGAGGCCAGAGGGAGACCAGAGAGAGACCAGAGGGAGACCACAGGGAGGCCAGAGGGAGATCAGAGGGACGTGTTGTGTGTAGCGTCTGTGTTAAAAATGATACTGTTTTTATAGTGAAAGTCCAGCTCGGTCCTGGAGCAGGATCTACACTGGTTTGGCACAAAAACATGAAATGTGTTTGATATTTTTGGAGTTAAATATTGAAATTGGTGTCGATGGTGGTGATGTCCTGGTGTAAAACGTAAAGGATGTGAGAGAAAATATGAAAAGAATGGGTTTAAAAAGCAGAAACACATCCACACAAATACAGGATTACAAAAGTGAGGCTGATGCTAATGCTAATGCTAATGCTAATGCCAGTGCTAACATAACAGGATGGAGGTAGTGTTATAAACGAAAGAAGGTTACCTGGGATTCTTCCGGCTGCATGAGTGAAGAGAATGTGTCATGGATCAGAGACATTGGAGGAAAACGGCACTTATGAAGTTTCTCACATCGACCTCTGACTCATTTCAAACTCTCTCAAAATGTTTCCCGTTTTAAAAGCCCCCCGGCCCCCACAGCTCTCTGATCAGATGCAACGAAGCCGAGGCCCCGACCACGAGTGAAAAGCAGATCTCACTGGTGCAGCTTTAGATAGATTATTATAGTTCAGATGTTACTACAGGGTACAGAGAGAGACCAGAGGGACCAGAGGGACCAGAGAGAGACCAGAGGGACCAGAGAGAGACCAGAGAGAGACTAGAGGGACCAGAGAGAGACCAGAGAGAGACCAGAGAGAGACCAGAGAGAGACTAGAGGGACCAGAGAGAGACCAGGGGGACCAGAGAGAGACCAGAGGGACCAGAGAGAGACCAGAGAGAGACCAGAGGGACCAGAGAGAGACCAGGGGGACCAGAGAGAGACCAGAGAGAGACCAGAGGGACCAGAGAGAGACCAGGGGGACCAGAGAGAGACCAGAGAGAGACCAGAGAGAGACCAGAGGGACCAGAGAGAGACCAGGGGGACCAGAGAGAGACCAGAGAGAGACCAGAGAGACCAGAGAGAGACCAGAGGGACCAGAGAGAGACTAGAGGGACCAGAGAGAGACCAGAGGGACCAGAGAAAGACCAGAGGGACCAGAGAGAGACCAGAGACCATCTGTTTTTAAAAATATCTAAAATAATTCAGACAGGGTCCATTGTCAAAAATCATCTTTAACCTGAAATGTCCCAAACTCTGCAGACGATGTGAGAAACCTCCACAACATTCAAAGCATCAGGGCTGTAAAAAGACGGAAACATTCTGGTGAATGTGTGGTGAGTTTCCGGTAATTTCCATGGGAAGTTACAGTGGGGAAATTTGGGGATTTTCCGTTGTAATTTATTTAAATTGTATAAATATAAACAGAGGTTATAAGAAAACATGTGACCGGGTTTTTCCACAGATGTAGATCCCCAAAATGTTACCTAAACTTTTGAGCCTCTACTTTGGTGCAAGAGTCTGCCCCAGGCTTCTACAAGTCTGCAGTACATGTGATGGAGGCACACCACCAGAGGGGGGCGCCGTCTCTACAGCAGTGTGTTTGAATCATGGATCTATGTAGAGACCAGAGAGAGAGAGACCAGAGAGGGAGAGACCAGAGAGAGAGACCAGAGAGAGAGAGACCAGAGAGACCAGAGAGAGACCAGAGAGAGAGAACAGAGACCAGAGAGAGAGACCAGAGAGAGACCAGAGAGAGAGACCAGAGAGAGAACAGAGAAACCAGAGAGAGAGAGACCAGAGAGAGAGACCAGAGAGAGAGACCAGAGAGAGATCAGAGAGAGACCAGAGACCACCGTTTTTTTTATAATTTAGGATGTTTCTCGCGTGCCTGTGTGCGTTTGCTGTTGTCATAGAGATCAAAGCACGACTGTGCTAAGGGACTGTAGAGTGAATCATCAGGTCTGAGTCCCATCTGCAGCTCTGTGTGTGTGTGTAAGTATTGGTGTAAGTATTGGCGTGAGTATTGGCGTGAGTATTGGCGTGAGTATTGGCGTGAGTATTGGCGTGAGTATTGGCGTGAGTATTGGCGTGAGTATTGGCGTGAGTATTGGCGTGAGTATTGGCGTGAGTATTGGTGTGAGTATTGGTGTGAGTATTGGTGTGAGTATTGGCGTGAGTATTGGCGTGAGTATTGGCGTGAGTATTGGTGTGAGTATTGGTGTGAGTATTGGTGTGAGTATTGGCGTGAGTATTGGTGTGAGTATTGGTGTGAGTATTGGTGTGGGTGCAGACCTTGCTTGATTTCCTCGGCCGTGCGGTCAATGAGGACGTACAGCGACCACACAACGCAGGTGATGGCGATGACGTGGAAAGTGACGGAACACATGATCTTCCTCCGCTCGCTCGCCGTCATCTGCAGCTTCTCCCACTGCGTACAGAAGTACTTCTGTCATGAGCACTACTGCTACTGCATATGTCAGAGTACTACTACTTTTGTTACTACTGCTGCTGCTATAATGCTGGTTAATTTTTTATTTTTTATTTACAGTCCCCCCTTACCTTGTTCAGCGGCCACTGAACAAGGGCGTCTCCCTCACCTGAGGCCTCCCTCCCCTGAGGCCTCCCTCTCCTGAGGGTCCTTACCTTGTGTCTACCTCCCCTGAGGCCTCCCTCCCCTGAGGGTCCTTACCTTGCGCAGCGGCTTGAGCTTGGTCTCCATGATGAACTCGTACTTGCAGAGTTCGCAGCAGCGTGTGTCGGAGCTTTTGATCCACTGCTGCAGACAGCTCTGATGCACAAACCGCAGGCTCCCAGTGCAGTGACACGGGGTGATGAGGGGGCTGTCGTCATCTCCCTCACAGTGGCAGATCCTGAGGACATAACAAAGGACCATCAAGGACCACCAGTGACCACCAGGAACCATCAAGGACCATCTGGGACCATCTGGGACCATCAGAGCTTGAAGAAACATGAGAGACTAAACACCACTGACTGTTCCATCCCACATCATTACAAGGTCCTCCTCACCTACAAGTCCCTCCATATGATGGAGGAGGTCTCACTGACCACCTCCATCATCACAATCTCAGATCCACGGACTCCAATCTCCTCACTGACTCCTGAACCCTGAGGACCGATCCTTCTGAACCCTGAGGACCGATCCTTCTGAACCCTGAGGACCAATCCTCCTGAACCCTGAGGACCGAGTCTTCTGAACCCTAAGGAGCCCTCGCTGCCCTGACTCTCTGGACCATCCGAACCATCCGGACCACAACCCTCCCAAACTCCCACTCACTGCAGAACTTTAAGTCACTTCTAAAAACTCTACTGTTCCAGAGTAGCCTTTCCTTAACTTTGTTAAGTTTTGCAAAGCGTCTTTGAGTGTCAAAAGCTATATAAGTTGGATGAATGATTATTATTGACAGTGGCAGATCCTGGGGACAGCACACAGGACCATCAGGAGCTAAAAACATCAGGGACCATCAGGGACAGAACACACATGACCATTTCATCCTTTACATTTAAACAGTTCACAAATGAAAAGAACAATCAGTGCCATCGATGCAGAAGTGTTTGAAATGTTCCAAAGATTCCATCATCATTCACATCACGGCTCAGATTCCTCCACAGCGCCTCATTTGTCTTGTGCTGCTTGCCTTCGGACTGAAGCTGTGAGCGGCTGGGACTGAATCTGAGAAAACAAACTGGTGAAGAGTCCAAACATGTTCACGGAGCGGAGCCAAGATAAATGTGTGAGAGTCTGAGCCTCATGTCCAACACAACCTCTTCCACTCAAATGCTCCAAATAAACAGACTTTCTGAACACTAGGAATATACATATATCTATATACAGTATGTATGAGAGAGAGGAGAGACGAGAGAGACGAGAGAGGAGAGAGGAGAGAGGAGAAAGGAGAGAGGAGAGAGAGACGAGAGAGGAGAGAGAGGAGAGAGACGAGAGAGGAGAGGAGAGGAGAGGAGAAAGGAGAGAGAGACGAGAGAGGAGAGAGAGACGAGAGAGGAGAGAGAGGAGAGAGACGAGACAGGAGAGAGGAGAGGAGAGGAGAAAGGAGAGAGAGACGAGAGAGGAGAGAGAGGAGAGAGAGGAGAGGGGAGAGAGAGGAGAGGAGAGAGGAGGAGAGAGGAGGAGAGAGGAGAGGAGAGAGGAGAGGAGAGAGAGGAGAGAGGAAAGAGGAGAGAGAGGAGAGAGGAGAGGAGAGAGGGAGAGAGGAGAGAGAGGAGAGAGGAGGAGAGAGGAGGAGAGAGGAGAGAGAGGAGAGGAGAGAGGAGAGAGAGGAGGAGAGAGGAGGAGAGAGGAGAGAGAGGAGAGGAGAGAGGAGAGGAGAGAGGAGAGAGGAGGAGAGAGAGAGAGAGAGGAGAGAGGAGGGAGAGAGAGGAGAGAGGAGGAGAGAGGAGAGGAGAGAGGAGAGGAGAGAGAGGAGAGAGGAGAGAGAGAGAGAGAGGAGAGGAGAGAGGAGAGAGGAGAGAGAGGAGAGAGGAGGAGAGAGGAGGAGAGAGGAGAGAGAGGAGGAGAGAGGAGGAGGAGAGAGGAGAGAGGAGAGAGGAGAGAGAGGAGAGAGGAGAGAGGAGAGAGAGGAGAGAGGAGAGAGAGGAGAGAGAGGAGAGAGGGGAGAGGAGGAGAGAGGAGGAGAGAGGAGAGAGAGGAGAGGAGAGAGGAGAGGAGAGAGGGGAGAGAGAGGAGAGAGGAGAGGGAGGAGAGAGGAGAGAAGAGGATAGAGGAGAGGAGAGAGGAGAGAGAGGAGAGAGAGAGGAGAGAGGAGAGAGAGAGAGGAGAGAGAGGAGAGAGACGAGAGAGGAGAGAGGTGAGGAGAGAGGAGAGAGGAGAGAGAGGTCACTGAAGGTGTTCAAGTCTTTAATAAATACATTCATATAATAATAAGAGCAAATGGACTTGACCGTTCATCTGTATTCATATTCTTATAGACTCAGTGTCCAGATAGGGTTCGGTTTGACTTGGACTCGGACTCGGACTCGGACAACCAGGTGAAGAAGTCTGGTTTGAGAAAATCTTCTGTATTTTATTTTTCACAAGTAGTTGTCTGTTATACTTATTTGTACCACAAGGGAGCGCCAGGAAGATTCAAATAATAACACAAATGGCCCGTTACGCACAGACGGTTGTGCAGAGAGAGTACTTGCGATCTCACAAGATCACATTCAGCATATTTAGAAAAAAGAAACAATCTGTACAATGTATTGTTGTATATTTTAACTTTTGAAATAACTGTGGAATGTGTTGATTAGCTCGGTGGCTACAGCTGAGAGGAACAAAGAACCACTTCATCTGAGTCTGGGCTGTGACCTCCGACCTCAAGTCTGCACACACCATATGAGAGATATGAATAACACAAACTGAATTTCCCTGATAAGAAACCAGGTGTGTTTGAGGAACCTCTCTCCCCCTTCTCGCTCCCTCCTCCCCCCTCCTCCCCTCTCCTCCCCTCTCCTGTGTTAACTTAAACCTCAGTCTTATGAAGCAGTGAACGACAGTGCGATGGCGGCAGACCATAGGAGCAGGAGATCTGGGTTCAGTCCAGGATCCGCCGCTGAAGAGACACTGACGAGGCTGTTTGTGGATGTGAGGCTGACGGTGAACACTGAAGTACAGCGACAACAAGGCCATGTGCAAACGGGTCTTTCTGTAGGTGTCTGGAGTAATGGGTTTACAGGGAGAGCAAGGCACAATTATGTGTGTTAGCATGGAGTTAGCATGGAGTTAGCATGGAGTTAGCATGGAGTTAGCATGGAGTTAGCATGGAGTTAGCATGAAGCGACGATCCACCCACAGCTGGCAGAGGTTTGAGATGACAACAGGCAAAGCATTTTTACTTGCGTCTGCACATAGATATAAACATGCATATATATGTGTGTGTAAGTATATACAGTACAGACCAAAAGTTTGGACACACCTTCTCATTCAAAGAGTTTTTCATTTTCATGACTATGAAAATTATAGATTGACACTGAAGGCATCAAAACTATGAATGAACTCATTAAAAAAAAAGTATGAACCAAGTGAAAATATGTTTTATGTTCTGGGTTCTTCAAAGTAGCTCCTTTTGCTCTGATACTGCTTCACTCTTGGCATTCTCTGATGTCTGTGACTCTATGATGTCTGTGACTCTATGATGTCTGTGACTCTATGATGTCTGTGACTCTATGATGTCTGTGACTCTATGATGTCTGCTGTGACTCTATGATGTCTGCTGCGACTCTATGATGTCTGCTGCGACTCTATGATGTCTGCTGCGACTCTATGATGTCTGCTGCGACTCTATGATGTCTGCTGCGACTCTGATGTCTGCTGCGACTCTATGATGTCGTCTGTGACTCTGTGATGTCTGTGACTCTGTGATGTCTGTGACTCTGTGATGTCTGTGACTCTGTGATGTCTGTGACTCTGTGATGTCTGTGACTCTGTGATGTCTGTGACTCTGTGATGTCTGTGACTCTGTGATGTCAGTGGTTCTCGGCGGTTCTCACACGTCTTGAGTCATGATCTGGAGAATGATTAACTCTGGACAAAGTCCACAGCAGACGCTCGGGAGTCACGCTCAGGGGTCACGCTCAGGGGTCACGCTCAGGGGTCACGCTCAGGGGTCACGCTCAGGGGTCACGCTCGGGAGTCACGCTCGGGAGTCACGCTCTGGAGTCACGCTCGGGAGTCACGCTCGGGAGTCACGCTCGGGAGTCACGCTCGGGAGTCACGCTCGGGAGTCACGCTCGGGAGTCACGCTCTGGAGTCACGCTCAGGGGTCACGCTCGGGAGTCACGCTCAGGGGTCACGCTCAGGGGTCACGCTCAGGGGTCACGCTCAGGGGTCACGCTCAGGGGTCACGCTCAGGGGTCACGCTCTGGAGTCACGCTCTGGAGTCACGCTCTGGAGTCACGCTCTGGAGTCACGCTCAGGGGTCACGCTCAGGGGTCACGCTCAGGGGTCACGCTCAGGGGTCACGCTCGGGAGTCACGCTCGGGAGTCACGCTCGGGAGTCACGCTCAGGGGTCACGCTCAGGAGTCACGCTCGGGAGTCACGCTCAGGGGTCACGCTCAGGGGTCACGCTCGGGAGTCACGCTCAGGGGTCACGCTCAGGGGGTCACGCTCGGGAGTCAGGCTCTGGAGTCACGCTCGGGAGTCACGCTCGGGAGTCACGCTCAGGGGTCACGCTCAGGGGTCACGCTCAGGGGTCACGCTCGGGAGTCAGGCTCTGGAGTCAGGCTCGGGAGTCACGCTCGGGAGTCACGCTCGGGAGTCACGCTCAGGGGTCACGCTCAGGGGTCACGCTCGGGAGTCACGCTCAGGGGTCACGCTCAGGGGTCACGCTCGGGAGTCACGCTCGCAGCCACCTGCCACAGGACTGTAATCTGTAATCTCTGCACCAGCGCCGCCCTCCAGGAGTCAACAACTTTATCAGACAATTCATTTCACAAACGACACACTCCTCACAGCAGCAGAACTCTATTTTAAAGTCACTTCTAAACGTTCTACTGTCATAGTTTCCTGATAACAGACTCTCAAACCAATAATGGCCGCTGCCCTGCGCTTGTAATTCAGGTGTGTAGATTATGATTCTGATTCTGAGATTACTCCGCAAGTAGTTCCGGCAACTTCATCACAACAGGCTTTCAGCACCTGTCTCTACTTCTGTCTGTGCAGAGAAGCTATCGGAGCTAGCCACGCTCATTAAGCACAAATGCTAATCAATCAACACATTAAGTGTTAACGGGAGAATACATTATACATTATACATCTTTAACACACGGAGGTTTTCAGAATGATCTCTTCATGTTTTCTTTACAAAAATACTGTTTTAAAGCAACTAAAGTAAACCAGGAAGTAACCATTAACATTAATAAAACATTAGGACGTTTACAGAGGATCTGATCATGGATTTAGGTTGAGTTTATTTATGGGGCACTTACTCATCCCATCACTCACGGTCTCGCCCCAATCCGAGAGGGAACAGGATGAGACTGAGAGAGTGAACAGGACAAGACCGAGAGAGAGTTAACAGGACGAGACCGAGAGAGAGTGAACAGGACGAGACCGAGAGAGAGTGAACAGGATGAGACCGAGAGAGAGTGAACAGGACGAGACCGAGAGAGAGTGAACAGGACGAGACCGAGAGAGAGTGAACAGGACGAGACCGAGAGAGTTAACAGGACGAGACCGAGAGAGTGAACAGGACGAGACCGAGAGAGTGAACAGGACGAGACCGAGAGAGTGAACAGGACGAGACCGAGAGAGTGAACAGGACGAGACCGAGAGAGAGTGAACAGGACGAGACTGAGAGAGTGAACAGGACGAGACCGAGAGAGAGTGAACAGGACGAGACCGAGAGAGAGTGAACAGGATGAGACCGAGAGAGTTAACAGGACAAGACCGAGAGAGAGTGAACAGGACAAGACCGAGAGAGAGTGAACAGGACGAGACCGAGAGAGAGTGAACAGGACGAGACCGAGAGAGAGTGAACAGGACGAGACCGAGAGAGAGTGAACAGGACGAGACCGAGAGAGTGAACAGGACGAGACTGAGAGAGTTAACAGGACAAGACCGAGAGAGAGTGAACAGGACGAGACCGAGAGAGTGAACAGGACGAGACCGAGAGAGTTAACAGGACGAGACCGAGAGAGTGAACAGGACGAGACCGAGAGAGAGTGAACAGGACGAGACTGAGAGAGTGAACAGGACGAGACCGAGAGAGAGTGAACAGGACGAGACCGAGAGAGAGTGAACAGGATGAGACCGAGAGAGAGTGAACAGGATGAGACCGAGAGAGTTAACAGGACAAGACCGAGAGAGAGTGAACAGGATGAGACCGAGAGAGAGTGAACAGGATGAGACCGAGAGAGAGTGAACAGGATGAGACCGAGAGAGTTAACAGGACAAGACCGAGAGAGTTAACAGGACAAGACCGAGAGAGAGTGAACAGGACAAGACCGAGAGAGAGTGAACAGGACGAGACCGAGAGAGAGTGAACAGGACGAGACCGAGAGAGAGTGAACAGGACGAGACCGAGAGAGAGTGAACAGGACGAGACCGAGAGAGTGAACAGGACGAGACTGAGAGAGTTAACAGGACAAGACCGAGAGAGAGTGAACAGGACGAGACCGAGAGAGTGAACAGGACGAGACCGAGAGAGTTAACAGGACGAGACCGAGAGAGTGAACAGGACGAGACCGAGAGAGAGTGAACAGGACGAGACTGAGAGAGTGAACAGGACGAGACCGAGAGAGAGTGAACAGGACGAGACCGAGAGAGAGTGAACAGGATGAGACCGAGAGAGAGTGAACAGGATGAGACCGAGAGAGTTAACAGGACAAGACCGAGAGAGTGAACAGGACGAGACCGAGAGAGTTAACAGGACAAGACCGAGAGAGAGTGAACAGGACGAGACGGAGAGAGTGAACAGGACGAGACAAAGAACAGGACGAGACCGAGACAGTGTACAGGACGAGACCGAGAACAGGACGAGACCGTGAGAGTGAACAAGACGAGACCGAGAGTGAACAGGACGAGACCGAGAGAGTGAACAGGACGAGACCGAAACACATGGGGATCAGATCTTGTGGGGTTTCACGGTGGATTCTGACCCAAGATGTAACAGAGCAACAAACTTGTCTGTGTTTTTCAGATTTCCTCGTCTATCATCATCAACACAACATTTGGATGAAAGCTTGTGTCGTTAGGAACTATGCTGTTAACACTTTAGATTAGCACTAATTACTCTGACCCACAGGGAAAGTGTCAGATAGTAGTTTGTTAGCTGTAGCATGAAGGCTAATAAGTACCGATTTAGAGCTAATTCTCCTGGATAGCTGGATTAGTGAAATTTTACTTTAAACTTCTTTGTCTTGAAATAGAAATATAGTTATGATAATGTAGGACTCATCTTAAGCTAATTCTGTTTCTTTTGAAAGACAGATGTGTTACAGAGAGAAGTAATGACTAATGAGGGGCGAGGGATGAGTCTGAACCGAAATCCATCGACTGGTCTGGTCGTTGTGACTGAGGTCTTTCCCCATTGGTTCAAACCTCGCTCACTTTACCCAAAATAACAAATCAGAGAGAAGCAGTGTCAGCCTGACCCATGCTGCTTCATTACGTCTTAGAAAACACGGTCACAGGGTTTAGCTCTAGGTCACCGTCACCACAGCTTTGGAGGACTAACTCTAACTCTAACTCTAACTGTCTCTGTCTCTGTCTCTGTCTCTGTCTCCTCTGACGTCCACTCACCTGCAGCAGTCCCCTGACATGGAGAAGGGTGACATCGGCTCTTTCTCAGACGTCGGGGTCGCGAATCCGTCCAAGTCTGCGTCTTCGTCCATGTAGCACATAGGAGCGTTGAGGAATCCCGACCTCTCCTGACGATCCTCCAGGAGTTGGAGTTTGGGAACGGTTTGCTCTTCCTCGAACACGTCGTCGTCCCCCTGCACCAGGCTGGGTTCGCGGCCCCCCATGAGCGTGCTGGACGACTTGGCCATGTGCAGATGCGAGGCGTAGCTTCCCAGATCGGAGCACTGAAGACTTGTCGAAGTGGAGGATCGGGAAAAGGGAAGGAATCGTTTGAGGAAATTGGAACTCGGGGAAGGGTTGGGCTGTGGATTTTGAGGGACTGGTAAAGTGTTATTAGGAGGAAGACCCTGGATATGTTTGGAATTGTTAGTAAGAGACGGGACCAAGAACAACTGGTTGGAAGTTTCAACTGGTGCTTTTCTGTTGCAAGGTTTTTGTTCATTGAGCTGCTGGGTTTTGGCTTCCAGCTCGCCATCGGAGCAGGTTCGGTCGATGAAGTTCAAACCTCGACAAAGGCTGTCCACTCGTTGGCCAACATCGTTCAGCGACATAGAAAATCGAAGGGCACTTTGTGGACGGTGGTTTCCCGCTGACGGCCTGAGTACAGACAACCAGACGTGTTTAGGAGTTTTTCTGTTGGGAACGTCCAAGCACACGGTGGATATCGCTCCTACTTCGTTTGATCTGCCTTTTACAAGAACTACTGCTGTCTGCTTCAGGCTGTCCTGATCCTCACTGCTTATGTTTGTTATGGTGTTTGAGGGAAGACAAAGGGAAGATTGAGGATAGCAGTGGAAAGGATGGAGGATGGAAAGAGAAAAAGAGAAATGAAGGTTGCATGCAGTTATAGCTTATGAAGAGTAAAGGTAAACATTGTGGATGATCCCAAAAACACACAGAGCCTGAGGCACAAACAACCTGAACATTCCACCCATTCCATAACGGACAACCTAAAGGTGAACGCTGCTAAAGCCATAAATCACGTGCTAACTACCGCTCTCACGGCAGAGGAGGCCAAAGTACAGCATTACACAGAGCATTGCAGATAATAATAATAATAATGATAATAATGCATTGGTTTTATACAGTGCTTTTTTGGACACTCAAAGACTCTTCACACGTCATTCTCTCTCTCCTACTACTGTAGCCACAGCTGCCCTGGGGCACACTGACAGAGGCGACGCAACCAGTCTGTGCCATCAGCCCCTCCCACCACCACCAACCATTCACACACACACCAGACTCATTCTAGGCAATGGGGCTGAATTGTTTTGCCTAAGGACACAACAACAGCAGGAGTCGATGGTGAAAGTCTTGAGGTGGGCTCGAACCCACGACCTTCTGGGCAAAAGGCCAATGCTCTACAACTGAGCTACTGTCGCCCTGACAGGAAAGCACTCCTCTAAGTCTTTGTACTGGACCACACTTAATGTGAGGCTGGACCACACTTAATGTGAGGCTGTACCAGACTTGATGTGAGGCTGGACCAGAGTTGATGTGAGGCTGTACCACACTTAATGTGAGGCTGTACCAGACTTAATGTGAGGCTGTACCACACTTAATGTGAGGCTGTACCACACTTAATGTGAGGCTGTACCAGACTTAATGTGAGGCTGTACCACACTTAATGTGAGGCTGTACCACACTTAATGTGAGGCTGGACCAGACTTAATGTGAGGCTGGACCAGACTTAATGTGAGGCTGGACCACACTTAATGTGAGGCTGGACCAGAGTTGATGTGAGGCTGTACCTGCAGATGTCTTGACTGGACGGAGAGACTGAGGTCCTGGAGAAACTACACGGAGCATTGACGGACGTGGGGCTCCCGGCCTGAAAACACAAACACATTTACAATACTATCCACACAAGCCATACTGGACTGGACTGGACTGGACTGGACTGTAATGAACTATACTATATTATAAATAAATCTTATTTATTTCATATGGAAATAACAATAACAGTGCTGTAATTGTTGTAGCACAGGTGCTAATTCCTAACCACTGTTTAAGCTGAAGATGGGAAGGTTAGTCTGTTAATAATAATAATAATATTATTATCATCAGAACAAAGTTGATCACGCGAATAAACAAAATGCTAAAAGATCAAATGCAAGCAAAACAAATGTTAACAGACAAAATGAGGAGTCCAATTTGAACCAATCGCTGATGATGGAACGAGAACGACCCAAATTTACAGCGAACAGGAGAACGTGAGGAGCCGACACCCTGCCCCACTGTGGCACCTGCTGTTCCCAGAGGTCTCCCATCGCAGTACTAACCAGGCCCTGCCCTGCTGAGCTTCAGAGGTCTGACAGAATCTGGCTTTCACCTGCAGGGGGCGCCACACCAGGAGCAGCAGGTTTCACAGTGATTCTAGACATTGTTTTTTTTCTTTCATGAAGTCTGGCGTCTGGTCAGACCAGCGCACAGAGTGAGGAGAGAGAGAGAGGAGGGAGGAGAGAGGAGGGGGAGAGAGGAGTGAGGAGAGAGGAGAGAGGAGGGGGAGAGAGGAGTGAGGAGAGAGAGGGGGGGAGAGGAGGGGGAGAGAGGAGTGAGGAGAGAGGAGGGGGAGAGAGGAGTGAGGAGAGGCGTGAGGAGAGAGGAGTGAGGAGAGAGGAGAGAGGAGGGAGGAGAGAGGAGGGGGAGAGAGGAGTGAGGAGAGAGGAGAGAGGAGGGGGAGAGAGGAGTGAGGAGGGGGAGAGGAGTGAGGAGAGAGGAGAGAGGAGGGGGAGAGGAGTGAGGAGAGAGGAGAGAGGAGGGGGAGAGGAGTGAGGAGAGAGGAGAGAGGAGGGGGAGAGGAGTGAGGAGAGAGGAGGGGGAGAGGAGGGGGAGAGAGGAGAGAGGAGAGGAGTGAGGAGAGAGAGAGAGGAGGGAGGAGAGAGGAGGGGAAGAGAGGAGAGAGGAGGGGGAGAGGAGTGAGGAGAGGAGTGAGGAGAGAGGAGAGAGGAGGGGGAGAGAGGAGTGAGGAGAGAGGAGAGAGGAGGGGGAGAGAGGAGTGAGGAGAGAGGAGAGAGGAGGGGGAGAGGAGTGAGGAGAGAGGAGAGAGGAGGGGGAGAGAGGAGTGAGGAGGGGGAGAGAGGAGTGAGGAGAGAGGAGGGGGAGAGGAGTGAGGAGAGAGGAGGGGGAGAGAGGAGTGAGGAGAGAGGAGTGAGGAGGGGGAGAGGAGAGAGGAGAGAGGAGGGGGAGAGGAGTGAGGAGGGGGAGAGGAGTGAGGAGAGAGGAGGGGGAGAGGAGTGAGGAGAGAGGAGTGAGGAGGGGGAGAGGAGTGAGGAGGGGGAGAGGAGTGAGGAGGGGGAGAGGAGTGAGGAGAGAGGAGTTTAGTTTAGTTTAGTTTATTTTTAAACTAAACTAAACTAAACGCCACCAATAGAAACATTGAAACCTTTCATAGTTGTTCTTGCATATTTTACTTTAAAGTTTAGCTTTCCTCTTAGATTGTATTTCCCTTCCCTCTCTGAGAACAATGCCTGAATGTGACCCGGAAGTAACTTATTTCGAGATTTAAAAATAATTTGTGCTGTTTTGAATTTAACAATATCAATGAACTTGAGCGTTCTCATGTGTAGGAACAGAGCATTTGTGTGATGTTGATAACTTTTATTGTTTACTATTCTTACAGCTTTTTTCTGCAGGATTGTGACCGGATGGATATTTGTTTTGTAGGTGTTACCCCACACCTCGACACAGTAATTCAGATATGGCAAGAATAATGCGTTGTATAGTATCTGTAAAGTCTTTTGGCTTAAAACATTCCTAGTTTTGCCCATGATAGCGATCCACCGCACTAGCTTGGACCGGATGTGTTTTATATGGGGTTTCCAGCAGAATTTCTTGTCTAAAATCACACCAAGAAATTTGATTTCATCAACTTGTGATAATTCAACATGATCAATGCTGAGTTTTAAGGTTATGTTTTCTTTGTTCTTTCCGAAAACCATGAATTTAGTTTTTTTTAAATTCAAAGATAATCTATTTATGTCACACCATTTTTTAATTTTCTTCATTTCCTGTGTGACCAGATCCAAAGTCTGCTGCAAATCCTCTCCAGATGCAAATACATTTGTGTCATCGGCAAAAGTTACAAATTTCATGGTATTTGATACATTGCATAAGTCATTCACATACATTAAAAATAACTTTGGCCCCAATATAGAACCTTGGGGCACTCCATGTTTTATTTCTAACATATCAGATGAGGTCTCATTTATTTTCACAAATTGTTTACGATGACTTATATAACTTTTAAGCCATGTTGACACTGTTCCTCTTACTCCATACCGCTCCATTTTTTTAATGAGTAGGCTATGATTGATGGTATCAAACGCTTTACTAAAATCCAGAAACACCCCTACAGTGCATTTTTTATTGTCTAGATTCCCTGTTACTTCCTCTACCAGATCAAGTAGGGCTAATGATGTTGATCTTCCCTCCCTAAATCCGTACTGACTGTCTGATAATAAAGTGTGCTTGTCTATGAATCTGTCCAATCGTATTTTGAATATTTTTTCTAAGATTTTAGAAAACTGTGATAAAATTGATATTGGACGATAGTTGTTTAAACAATGCTTGTTACCATCTTTATATAAAGGAACCACTTTGGCCACCTTCATGTCCTGTGGGAACACACCTGTCTGGAAGGATAGATTAAATATGAACTGTAATGGTTTAGTGATCACTTCTATCACTTTCTTCACAATGACCATGTCTAGTGAGTCGCTATCAGTTGATAATTTAGGTTTACAATCATGTACTATTTCTAAGATCTCTTTTTCTGCAACTGGTGTTAAAAACATTGAGCTCTTATTTATCTCTACATTTGACACTGCTTGTAACTCTGTTTCACTATTATGATTGATTTCATCAAGCAAGTTAGCACCTATATTCACAAAGTACATGTTGAATTCATTTGTAATATCTGTAAGGTTATTTAAAGTGTTGTTGTTGTGAATGAAATACTGTGGGTAACTAGGGGCTTCCTTCCCCTTCCTAATGATGGAATTTAGTAAGTCCCACATTACCTTTGTGTTTTCCTTATTATTTTCCAATTTTGAGCTATAATACTCTTTTTTGCAAGTTCTCAATATGCTAATGAGTTTATTTTTATATCTTTTATACTTCCTTTCTGCGTCCAGCGATCTTTTAAGAAGGAATTCCCTATAAAGCGAGTTTTTCTTTTTGCATGCATTTATAAGGCCTTTTGTCATCCATGGATTTCCTTTCATTTGTGTATGTTTCTTATAACATTTTAATGGACAGTATTTATTGTATAACATTTTAAATCTGTGCAGAAATATTCTATAAGCTATGTTGACATCATTTTCTTTGTATAGACAACTCCAATTTTGTTCTGCAAGTTCCTTTTTTAAGTTACCTATTGACTCTTCCGATCTCGGTCTTTTGTATGAGAGTGTTTCCTGTTCTACCATGTTTGTTTCCCCATCAAAAATGGTAAAGACTGGTAAATGATCAGTTATATCATTTATGAGCAGTCCGTTTATTGTGGCATCTTCCAAGTCATTATAAAAAATGTTATCTATTAATGTTGCACTATGTGGAGTGATCCTAGTGGGTTTTGTAATCAACCAAGGAGTGAGGAGAGAGGAGAGAGAGGGAGGAGGGAGGAGAGAGGGAGGAGAGAGGAGGGGGAGAGAGGAGTGAGGAGAGAGGAGAGAGGAGTGAGGAGAGAGGAGAGAGGAGGGGGAGAGAGGAGTGAGGAGAGAGGAGAGAGGAGTGAGGAGAGAGGAGAGAGGAGGGGAGAGGAGGGGGAGAGAGGAGTGAGGAGAGAGGAGAGAGGAGGGAGAGAGGAGTGAGGAGAGGGGAGAGAGGAGAGAGAGGGAGGAGGGAGGAGAGAGGGAGGAGAGAGGAGGGGGAGAGAGGAGTGAGGAGAGAGGAGGAGGAGGGGGGAGGAGTGAGGAGAGAGGGAGAGAGGAGGGAGAGAGGAGTGAGGAGAGGGGAGAGAGGAGAGAGAGGGAGGAGGGAGGAGAGAGGGAGGAGAGAGGAGGGGGAGAGAGGAGTGAGGAGAGAGGAGAGAGGAGGGGGAGAGGAGGGGGAGAGAGGAGTGAGGAGAGAGGAGGAGGAGAGAGGAGTGGGAGAGAGAGAGGGAGGGAGAGAGGAGTGAGGAGAGAGGAGAGAGAGAGGGGGAGAGGAGGGGGAGAGAGGAGTGAGGAGAGAGGAGAGAGGAGAGAGGAGGGGGAGAGGAGGGGGAGAGAGGAGTGAGGAGAGAGGAGAGAGGAGTGAGGAGAGGGGAGAGAGGAGAGAGAGGGAGGAGGGAGGAGAGAGGGAGGAGAGAGGAGGGGGAGAGAGGAGAGAGAGGGAGGAGGGAGGAGAGAGGGAGGAGAGAGGAGGGGGAGAGAGGAGACCTCACCTCTATGGTCCAATACGTGTGTTGTCTGTGTGTGTTAACTGTTGGTCCAATACGTGTGTTGTCTGTGTGTGTTAACTGTTGGTCCAATACGTGTGTTGTCTGTGTGTGTTAACTGTTGGTCCAATACGTGTGTTGTCTGTGTGTGTTAACTGTTGGTCCAATACGTGTGTTGTCTGTGTGTGTTAACTGTTGGTCCAATACGTGTGTTGTCTGTGTGTGTTAACTGTTGGTGATTTCAAAGGTTTAGTTCAGTCTGAGATGATGCTGCTGTGATTTAGAGAAATACAAGAATAAATTGTATAGTTTAGTATTGTAGGAGAGAGTGTTGTAGTTCTGTGTGTGTTGTGTGTATGTGTATGTTGTAGTTGTGTGTGTTGTGTGTGTGTGTTGTAGTTGTGTGTATCACCTTAGAGATGTTGCTGGACCTGCTCGCTGAGTGACCCAAGGGCTTTTCATTCTGTAAACACAAAAACACACAGATAAATACACACACTGATAAAACTCCACACACTGATTAAGAAACACACACTGATAAAACACAGTCACCGATAAAACACACACACAGAAAAAACCAGCAGTTTGTTTAACTGAATGTGGATTTATAGAAAACTGAAAGATTTAACAAGCAAATAAGTGTGTGTGTGTGTGTGTGTGTCCAGGTTTAAACAGTTCAACAACACTTTGTCAGAACTCAGGCTTATCTGTGATGTCACATGTTTCTTTACCGCGGCCGTTATCAGCGTTACACAACTTCCTCCTCTTCAGGAAAAAGGTCACGCTATCTCTCTCCACGTTACTATCTCCACGCCACCGTCCCCACGCCACCGTCCCCACCGTCCCCCCGCCACCGTCCCCCGTCTCCACGCCACCATCTCCACGCCACCATCTCCACGCCACCATCTCCACGCCACCATCTCCACGCCACCATCTCCACGCCACCATCTCCACGCCACCATCTCCACGCCACCGTCCCCACGCCACCGTCCCCACGCCACCGTCTCCACGCCACCATCTCCACGCCACCATCTCCACGCCACCATCTCCACGCCACCATCTCCACGCCACCATCTCCACGCCACCATCTCCACGCCACCATCTCCACGCCACCGTCCCCACGCCACCGTCCCCACGCCACCGTCCCCACGCCACTATCTCCACGCCACTATCTCCACGCCATCGTCCCCACGCCACCATCTTCACGCCACCATCTCCACGCCACCATCTCCACGCCACCATCTCCACGCCACCATCCCCACGCCACCGTCTCCACGCCACCGTCCCCACGCCACTATCTCCACGCCACTATCTCCACGCCATCGTCCCCACGCCACCATCTTCACGCCACCATCTCCACGCCATCGTCCCCACGCCACCATCTCCACGCCACCATCTCCACGCCACCATCTCCACGCCACCATCTCCACGCCACCATCTCCACGCCACCATCCCCACGCCATCATATTCACGCCATCATATTCACGCCATCATATTCACGCCATTATTCCTGTAACCTCCTCCAGACTCCTCACGCATCCTCCAGTGTCATGCAATATTCTGTCCTACCAACTGGCCCAGACTGGCCCAGACTGGCCCGGACTGGCTCGGACTGCAGAGATGAAAACCAGAAGCATTTTCTTGCACATAGTTCTCACAACGTTTTAGGCCGTCTGCACATACTTTAAATTTGTTAATTCAATGTATTTGTGAATCGCCCTAAATCACAGCAGTAGTTTCTCAGAGGACTTCACAAAACTGTCGATTCACCAACAACAGATCAGAAAATCAAACCGTTCAAACTCAGGAAATGCAACTCAGAACCTCCTGCTCCAGAGAAACTGTGGCTCTGTATTTCAACAAACTGTAAAAGACACTGGTAACACACATTCTTTAGTGTAGCTCTTTAGTGTAGCTCTTTAGTGTAGCTCTTTAGTGTAGCTCTTTAGTGTAGCTCTTTAGTGTAGCTCTTTAGTGTAGCTCTTTAGTGTAGCTCTTTAGTGTAGCTCTTTAGTGTAGCTCTTTAGTGTAGCTCTTTAGTGTAGCTCTTTAGTGTAGCTCTTTAGTGCGGTCGGGGCAGTTACAGCCTACATCACTCTGATCATTCACTCACTCTGTGTTTACAGTTTGTCACTGATGAAGCAGCAGACTGTGGTCCCTGCAGTGACTGTTGTGATGTGATATTCTTCTAGTGTGTGTGTCTGTGTGTGTGTCTGTGTGTGTCTGTGTCTGTGTGTGTCTGTGTGTCAGTACAGTGTGTGTGTCACTGTAACATAGCAACACTAGATATTCAGTCATGAGAAAACTAGAGACTTAAACATTATGATTTACTTTGACAGTAAGTTGTAATAATACATGTGGATAAAGTGATTACGTGTGAGTGTCCTGAGCCTCTCTGTCCTCTCGACGTGGAGGAGCAGCAACTTCATCCCAAGCTCCTCCCGTGTGACTGAGCTCCTCACCCAATCTCTAAGGGAGCAGTAGCTCTACTCTGAGCTCCTGTGACTGTGCTCTTCCAACTCCAAGGGAGCAGCAACTCTGCGGAGGAAGCTCATTTCGACCGCTTGTATCCGCGATCTCGTTCTTTCGGTCATTACCCAAAGCTCATGACCATAGGTGAGGGAGGGAACGAAGATTGACCGGTAAATCGAGAGCTTTGCCTTTCGGCTCAGCTCCCTCTTTACCACAACGGTCCGATACAGCTCTGACTGCAGACGCTGCTCCCTCTTTACCACAACGGTCCGATACAGCGACCGCATCACTGCGCACGCTGCACCGATCCGCCTGTCAATCTCACGCTCCATCCTTCCCTCACTCGTGAACAAGACCCCGAGATTCTTGAACTCCTCCACTTGAGGAAGGACCTCTCCACCCACCTGCAGAGGACCAGGAGCTGTAGAGGACCAGGAGCTGGAGAGGACCAGGACCTGGAGAGAGCAATGCACCTTATTCCGGTCGAGCACCATGGCCTCAGATTTGGAGGTGCTGAATCTCATCCCAGCCGCTTCACACTCGGCCACACCCGTCCCAGTGCATGTTGCAGGTCCTGGCTCGTTGGAGCCAACAGGACAACATCGTCCGCAAACAGCAGAGATTAAATCCTGTGGTTCCCGAACCAGACCCGCTCCGGCCTCTGGCTGCAGCCTTGGCAGAGGCCAACACCGGGAACAGGTCTGACTGATGCATAGGCCTTAAGCAGAGGACCCCGTACTCCCGGAAAACCCCCCAAAGGACACCCCGGGGAACACAAATCCACAAAGCACATGTGACTGAGGCCAACTCCCATGATCCTCGAGTCTCTGATGGAGGGTATTGGGCTGGTCACTGGACCAGGACCGGGAACAAAACCACACTGCTCCTGAAGCTGTAACATTTACTAGAGTTTCATTTTGTTTAAATGGGGTTTGATACTTTTGGGTTCAGTGTTTTGAACCTCTGATCCTCCAGAGCAAAGGGAAGAAATTTCACTTATGAATTACAATATTTAACTCATTCATGCATTGAGAAAACTAACCTCCAAATCTGCCTCAAAAACATAAAAGTGCAGCGTTCCAGTTTGAGAAAGTTCTGGTTCAAACGTCTCCAACACTGAACAGGAAGTGGACGTGGTTTCCTGTATGTGTCTGACAGGAAGTCCCGCCTCCAAAAAGACCAAGCTCTCAGAGCAGGTGACCTTCACTCAGAGTTCAATGTAGAGTTCTCAAAGCCTCACCCTCAGACCTTAGACCTTAGACATCAGACCTCAGACCTCAGACATCAGACCTTAGACATCAGACCTTAGACATCAGACCTCAGACCTTAGACATCAGACCTTAGACATCAGACCTTAAAGGAACAACTCTAACCCCTGTATGAGAAAAAGATTTTATATATTTTCAACATAGTCACTGCATGTGATGTCACAGTTCTCTGTAGAGACTCTACAGCTACAGATGTAAACATACTGCTGCTAATGTACAGATGTAAACATACTGCTGCTAATGTACAGGTGTAAACATACTGCTGCTAATGTACAGATGTAAACATACAGCTGCTAATGTACAGATGTAAACATACTGCTGCTAATGTACAGATGTAAACATACAGCTGCTAATGTACAGATGTAAACATACAGCTGCTAATGTACAGGTGTAAACATACTGCTGCTAATGTACAGATGTAAACATACTGCTGCTAATGTACAGGTGTAAACATACTGCTGCTAATGTACAGGTGTAAACATGCTGCTGCTAATGTACAGATGTAAACATACTGCTGCTAATGTACAGGTGTAAACATACTGCTGCTAATGTACAGGTGTAAACATGCTGCTGCTAATGTACAGATGTAAACATACTGCTGCTAATGTACAGGTGTAAACATACTGCTGCTAATGTACAGGTGTAAACATACTGCTGCTAATGTACAGATGTAAACATACTGCTGCTAATGTACAGGTGTAAACATACTGCTGCTAATGTACAGGTGTAAACATACTGCTGCTAATGTACAGGTGTAAACATACTGCTGCTAATGTACAGGTGTAAACATACTGCTGCTAATGTACAGATGTAAACATACTGCTGCTAATGTACAGGTGTAAACATACTGCTGCTAATGTACAGGTGTAAACATACTGCTGCTAATGTACAGATGCTAACATACTGCTGCTAACATGTACAGATGTAAACATATTACTATATATTTATACACGAGAATATACAGGATGTATACTTACTATTTTATTATGCTAAAGCTAGAGATTTCATACTAGCTTCTTTCTTAAGGATCTTCACCATAAACATATTTTGTGTCAACACCATGAAGGTAACTTTAGGTGTGTTCTCATGGTTCCTCATTCTTCACATTCTCCTCCTGAGGCTCGGAGCAGGTCTGTCGTTTGGATCAAAGACTGAATGGAATCTACCGAGGCCGAAGTTTAACACCGAGAACTAAACCCCAACACACCGGGAACTAAACCCCAACACACCGGGAACTAAACCCCAACACACCGGGAACTAAACCCCAACACACCGGGAACTAAACCCCAACACACCGGGAACTAAACCCCAACACACCAGGAACTAAACCCCAACACACCGGGAACTAAACCCCAACACACCGGGAACTAAACCCCAACACACCGGGAACTAAACCCCAACACACCGGGAACTAAACCCCAACACACCGGGAACTAAACCCCAACACACAGAGAACTAAACCCCAACACACCGAGAACTAAACCCCAACACACCGAGAACTAAACCCCAACACACCAGGAACTAAACCCCAACACACCGGGAACTAAACCCCAACACACCGAGAACTAAACCCCAACACACCGAGAACTAAATCCCCAACACACAGAGAACTAAACCCCAACACACCGAGAACTAAACCCCAACACACCGAGAACTAAACCCCAACACACCGAGAACTAAACCCCAACACACCGGGAACTAAACCCCAACACACCGAGAACTAAACCCCAACACACCGAGAACTAAATCCCAACACACAGAGAACTAAATCCCAACACACCGAGAACTAAACCCCAACACACCGAGAACTAAACCCCAACACACCGAGAACTAAACCCCAACACACCGGGAACTAAACCCCAACACACCGCGAACTAAACCCCAACACACCGGGAACTAAACCCCAACACACCGGGAACTAAACCCCAACACACCAGGAACTAAACCCCAACACACCGGGAACTAAACCCCAACACACCGGGAACTAAACCCCAACACACCGGGAACTAAACCCCAACACACCGGGAACTAAACCCCAACACACCGAGAACTAAACCCCAACACACCGGGAACTAAACCCCAACACACCGGGAACTAAACCCCAACACACCGAGAACTAAACCCCAACACACCAGGAACTAAACCGAAAACACACCAGGAACTAAACCCCAACACACCAGGAACTAAACCCCAACACACCAGGAACTAAACCCCAACACACCGGGAACTAAACCCCAACACACCGGGAACTAAACCCCAACACACCGGGAACTAAACCCCAACACACCGAGAACTAAACCCCAACACACCGAGAACTAAACCCCAACACACCGAGAACTAAACCCCAACACACCGAGAACTAAACCCCAACACACCAGGAACTAAACCCCAACACACCAGGAACTAAACCCCAACACACCGGGAACTAAACCCCAACACACCGAGAACTAAACCCCAACACACCGAGAACTAAACCCCAACACACCGAGAACTAAATCCCAACACACCGAGAACTAAACCCCAACACACCAGAACTCAAAACAAACACACCAGAACTCAAAACAAACACACCAGAACTCAAAACAAACACACCAGAACTCAAAACAAACACACCAGAACTCAAAACAAACACAGAACCCACTGGATCAGACAACACTGGATCAGAACCCACTAGATCAGAACACGCAGGAGTAGAACCAGTCGGAGAGGTTCTGTCAGGGTTCAGCATGAGTCATTCTTCCACAGATGCAGGAAGCTCTAAGTCTATGTTAGAGCTCAGGGTTAGAGCTGAACACAGACCAAAGAACACATGTCAAACTCAGGCCCGTGGGCCAAACCCGGGCCCAAAACCATATTCAGCGGCCTCTGAGATGATGGTCAGAGACTAATGGGATGTTATTCTTCATTTTAAAACAACCATATATTTGTATTGTCTTCGTGATATTAGCTCTAAGGTCTTTAAAGTCGGACCTGTGCTCTAAGGTCTTTAAAGTTGGCCCTGTGCTCTGAGGTCTTTAAAGTTGGCCCTGTGCTCTAAGGTCTTTAAAGTTGGCCCTGTGCTCTAAGGTCTTTAAAGTTGGCCCTGTGCTCTGAGGTCTTTAAAGTTGGCCCTGTGCTCTAACCTCTAAGGTCTTGGCCCTGTGCTCTAAGGTCTTTAAAGTTGGCCCTGTGCTCTGAGGTCTTTAAAGTTGGCCCTGTGCTCTGAGGTCTTTAAAGTTGGCCCTGTGCTCTGAGGTCTTTAAAGTTGGCCCTGTGCTCTGAGGTCTTTAAAGTTGGCCCTGTGCTCTGAGGTCTTTAAAGTTGGCCCTGTGCTCTGAGGTCTTTAAAGTTGGCCCTGTGCTCTAAGGTCTTTAAAGTTGGCCCTGTGCTCTAAGGTCTTTAAAGTTGGCCCTGTGCTCTGAGGTCTTTAAAGTTGGCCCTGTGTCTTTAAAGTTGGCCCTGTGCTCTGAGGTCTTTAAAGTTGGCCCTGTGCTCTGAGGTCTTTAAAGTTGGCCCTGTGCTCTGAGGTCTTTAAAGTTGGCCCTGTGCTCTGAGGTCTTTAAAGTTGGCCCTGTGCTCTGAGGTCTTTAAAGTTGGCCCTGTGCTCTGAGGTCTTTAAAGTTGGCCCTGTGCTCTTAAAGTTGGCCCTGTGCTCTGAGGTCTTTAAAGTTGGCCCTGTGCTCTGAGGTCTTTAAAGTTGGCCCTGTGCTCTGAGGTCTTTAAAGTTGGCCCTGTGCTCTGAGGTCTTTAAAGTTGGCCCTGTGCTCTGAGGTCTTTAAAGTTGGCCCTGTGCTCTGAGGTCTTTAAAGTTGGCCCTGTGCTCTTAAAGTTGGCCCTGTGCTCTGAGGTCTTTAAAGTTGGCCCTGTGCTTGGGCATCGAGCCAAACCTGACACGTGCTGAAGCTCCACATGAGAATGTTAAGAATCAAAACAAACCCTCACTCACTGGAAACAGAAGAGTGACTAGCCACTGTCAGACTGTACAATGAGTCACTTTAATGAACTGCACCAGGGCTGAAAACTAGGACTCACTTTAACTTGTTGCACACTTCCTGTTTGCACATCCATGTTACCCTACCCTACCCTACCCTACCCTACCCTACCCTACCCTACCCATGTGTGCAGTGGTATGTTTGTGTTGAATACTTTCATGTTGTGACGAGACCTTGAACCAGTTTGAGGACTTTGTATCAAAGCAATAAAGTTATTTTATAGATAAAACAACAACAGCACTTGGGTCAAGTACCAAGGTACAGGTGTGTGTGATGACAAAGGTACAGGTGTGTGTGATGACAAAGGTACAGGTGTGTGTGATGACAAAGGTACAGGTGTGTGTGATGACAAGATGATGACAAAGGTACAGGTGTGTGTGATGACAAAGGTACAGGTGTGTGTGATGACAAAGGTACAGGGTGTGTGTGTGATGACAAAGGTACAGGTGTGTGTGATGACAAAGGTACAGGTGTGTGTGATGACAAAGGTACAGGTGTGTGTGATGACAAAGGTACAGGTGTGTGTGATGACAAAGGTACAGGTGTGTGTGATGACAAAGGTACAGGTGTGTGTAGGAGACACTGATCTCAGCCTCTTCTTCTGCTGCAGCAGGAGCAGCCTTTTGTTTACATCCAGGCAGCGCCACAGCTACACCCTGCCCTCAGCCGCAGAGACACTTCCAAAGCAGTCTGTCCTTTATGCATTCATCCTCCCCTTCGTCCCCTTCGTTCCCCATCGCCCCCCGTCCTCCCCCATCGCTGCCTTTAAGCCCGGACCATGTGACAGCATTAATCTGGCCGCAGCACCCGTCACCTCCTCTCGGTCGCAGCTGCAGATTTGACACAAAGCCCAGAGATTTGGCAGCGATGGCCATGATCTTATTTGCTAAGCCGAGCTGGATCAAATCAAATGAAAGAGATTCAACTCAAACAAACATTTTTAGGGTGGAAATATTCACAATCAGAGCAGGATTCTTCAAACCAGATCTGAGGCAATAGAGGCCGGTGGATAACCAGAAGAGGACATTTGTTTTAGCTATTTATTGTTCTCTTTATTGTTCTGCTGTAGCTTTCAGTTTATTGGGGAACAGGCCCCAGGACGGTAGCATCAGACAAACCCCAGCGCTGGATGCGTCCAGGCTCTTGTTTACATCTCTACGTGCCAGAACAAAGGGAGAATATAGCAAGTGAAAGTGGGTCAACCTTTGTAGCAGTGTGGGCTACATCTGTGCACAAACATGATCCGGCAGAGCGTCTGCAGTCCTCTCTACGACTGCATAACCACAACACACAAGCATCATAAATAATTCCCCTCTGACTCCATCTTCGCAGAGCTCGCCTTGCCATCACCGCGGAGACAGGAGGCCTCCCCATGACGACCCATGACGACCACAACAGACATCATCAGGCTCACGTACCTGGATCTTCATTTTCCAGCAAGAATTCATGATCGGAACCTCCCTCCGATGTGTCACAAAGCAGCCGGAGAAGGACAATAGAGGCAGCTCCTGGGGCACACGTCACATTTGTCAGCTGCAAAACGAGGCCGAGCCATCAACAACAGAACCGTGTCAGCGTCTCCGCGGCGATGGGATCACCGCAGACGGGGGTTGCAGTGGCAGTAGCATGCCCTACATATGTCTCATCCTGAGAGCTAGCCGTGTGTTTGCTACTGAGCTACTGTCTGCTGCTCCCTGCTTTCTCTCCTCCAACACACACACACACACACACACACACACACACACACACACACACACACACACACACACACACACACACACACACACACACACACACACACACACACACACACACACAGGAGCTAATCCGATTGGCCCGAGCACCACTTCCTCCAGCTGATCTTGACAAGGGGGAGGGGCTGGGGAATTATTCATAAGGGAGGGGCTCTGTCTTTTCTCTTTAAATAGACTCTAGGCAGCTCTAAGTGCGGACACCTTTGACCCCGGAGCTTTAGCGAAGTGAAAGGTGCAGCACAGTCTTTCAATCGTCCTGATTCTATCTGGATTCTAGCAGTAAGAAAGTCATGTTTATCTATAGAGCACATTTTACAGACCAAGGTACAGACCTAAAGCGCTTTACAGAGTTCAGGTTCCATTCTCTCTACACAGTGAGGACGAACACACTGGGCCATCAAAGCCTCCGACCAAACACCATCCACTCGTTACATTCAGACTGTTGTTTTTAGTGGTACCGCAAACTCCACACAGAGCTGAAGTTGGCTGAATGACACATGTTTACCATCTCACCAGCTACATTAGCAACATTACCAGAAGTGACACAATCAAAAACCAGGTCAGCAAAGTTTGTACAAATAAAGTCAACGACGTACTGGGCTTTAGAACGAGGTCTACAGTATATTGGTTGAGCTGAAGTTGGATTGATGACACCGTGAGCTTGTGTTTATGATCTCATAGACTACTTTAGGTTCAGCAGAACTGTTGTTCTCTGAGCTGTTCCAGTAAAACACGAGGCCTCGGGGGAAGGGCACAATCAATGTGATCAATGCACAACTCACGGACATCTGTGGTCTGCATGGGCCACAAAACACACACACACAGAACACACACATACACAGCACACACAGACACACACACAACACACACACACATACACACACAGCACACACAGACACACACACAGAGCACAAACACACACACAGAGCACACTGCAGGTGGAGTATGAAGTGTGAGTATAGTGACCTCTGCAGGCGGAGTATGTAGTATGAAGTGTGAGTATAGCGACCTCTGAGGCGGAGTATGTAGTATGAAGTGTGAGTATAGTGACCTCTGCAGGTGGAGTATGTAGTATGAAGTGTGAGTATAGTGACCTCTGCAGGCGGAGTATGTAGTATGAAGTGTGAGTATAGTGACCTCTGCAGGTGGATTATGTAGTATGAAGTGTGAGTATAGCGACCTCTGCAGGTGGAGTATGTAGTATGAAGTGTGAGTATAGTGACCTCTGCAGGCGGAGTATGTAGTATGAAGTGTGAGTATAGTGACCTCTGCAGGTGGAGTATGTAGTATGAAGTGTGAGTATAGTGACCTCTGCAGGTGGATTATGTAGTATGAAGTGTGAGTATAGTGACCTCTGCAGGTGGAGTATGTAGTATGAAGTGTGAGTATAGTGACCTCTGCAGGCGGAGTATGTAGTATGAAGTGTGAGTATAGCGACCTCTGCAGGCGGAGTATGTAGTATGAAGTGTGAGTATAGCGACCTCTGCAGGTGAAGTATGTAGTATGAAGTGTGAGTATAGTGACCTCTGCAGGCGGAGTATGTAGTATGAAGTGTGAGTATAGTGACCTCGGCAGGTGGAGTATGTAGTATGAAGTGTGAGTATAGTGACCTCTGCAGGTCACTATACCTGTAGTATGAAGTGTGAGTATAGTGACCTCTGCAGGTGGAGTATGTAGTATGAAGTGTGAGTATAGCGACCTCTGCAGGTGGAGTATGTAGTATGAAGTGTGAGTATAGTGACCTCTGCAGGCGGAGTATGTAGTATGAAGTGTGAGTATAGTGACCTCTGCAGGTGGAGTATGTAGTATGAAGTGTGAGTATAGCGACCTCTGCAGGTGGAGTATGTAGTATGAAGTGTGAGTATAGCGACCTCTGCAGGTGGAGTATGAAGTGTGAGTATAGCGACCTCTGCAGGTGGAGTATGAAGTGTGAGTATAGTGACCTCTGCAGGTGGAGTATGTAGTATGAAGTGTGAGTATAGTGACCTCTGCAGGCGGAGTATGTAGTATGAAGTGTGAGTATAGTGACCTCTGCAGGTGGAGTATGTAGTATGAAGTGTGAGTATAGTGACCTCTGCAGGCGGAGTATGTAGTATGAAGTGTGAGTATAGTGACCTCTGCAGGCGGAGTATGTAGTATGAAGTGTGAGTATAGTGACCTCTGCAGGTGGAGTATGTAGTATGAAGTGTGAGTATAGTGACCTCTGCAGGTGGAGTATGTAGTATGAAGTGTGAGTATAGTGACCTCTGCAGGCGGAGTATGTAGTATGAAGTGTGAGTATAGGAGTATGTTTCCGTTGAAAACCTTAAGTTCAGATAATGGGTGACCAACCTGTCTTTGTTTTGACTATTCCCTGTACGACTGAGAGCTTACACAAACTTAAGAGCTAGGTTAGCTACAGCTAGGTTAGCTACAGCTAGGTTAGCTACAGCTAGGTTAGCTACAGCCAGGCAAGTAACAGGTGGAATATTCTATGGGAGAATAACGTCTTAGTAGTATATAGTGGATTCTGTGCTTTAGTGCCATATAAGCACAGGGACCAGCCTCCTGCTGGGACTCGGAGGAGCACAGGGACCGGCCTCCTGCTGGGACTCTGAGGAGCACAGGGACTGGCCTCCTGCTGGGACTCTGAGGAGCACAGGGACTGGCCTCCTGCTGGGACTCTGAGGCGCACAGGGACTGGCCTCCTGCTGGGACTCTGAGGAGCACAGGGACTGGCCTCCTGCTGGGACTCTGAGGAGCACAGGGACTGGACTCCTGCTGGGACTCTGAGGAGCACAGGGACTGGCCTCCTGCTGGGACTCTGAGGAGCACAGGGACCAGCCTCCTGCACAGAGGACACAGAGGACACAGAGAGGACACAGAGGACACACAGAGGACACACAGAGGACACACAGAGGACACAGAGAGGACACAGAGGACACACAGAGGACACACAGAGGACACACAGAGGACACAGAGGACACAGAGAGGACACAGAGGACACACAGAGGACACACAGAGGACACACAGAGGACACAGAGGACACACAAAGGACACAGAGGACACACAGAGAGGACACAGAGGACACAGAGAGGACACACGGAGGACACAGAGGACACAGAGAGGACACAGAGAGGACACACAGAGGACACAGAGGACACAGAGAGGACACAGAGAGGACACAGAGGACACACAGAGGACACAGAGAGGAAACAAAGGACACACAGAAGACACACAGAGGACACACAGAGGACACAGAGAAGACAAAGAGGACACACAGAGGACACACGGAGGACACAGAGGACACACTGAGGACACAGAGGACACAGAGAGGACACAGAGGACACACAGAGGACACAGAGGACACACAGAGGACACACGGAGGACACAGAGAGGACACACGGAGGACACAGAGGACACAGAGAGGACACAGAGAGGACACAGAGGACACACAGAGGACACACAGAGGACACAGAGGACACAGAGGACACACGGAGGACACAGAGGACACAGAGGACACACAGAGGACACAGAGAGGACACAGAGGACACACAGAGGACACACAGAGGACACACAGAGAGGACACACAGAGGACACAGAGGACACACAGAGGACACACAGAGGACACAGAGGACACACAGAGGACACACAGAGGACACAGAGGACACAGAGAGGACACACGGAGGACACAGAGGACACAGAGGACACACAGAGGACACAGAGGACACACAGAGGACACACAGAGGACACAGAGAGGACACACTGAGGACACAGAGAGGACACAGAGAGGACACAGAGAGGACACACGGAGGACACAGAGAGGACACACAGAGGACACACAGAGGACACAGAGGACACACGGAGGACACAGAGAGGACACAGAGAGGACACACAGAGGACACAGAGAGGACACACAGAGGACACAGAGAGGACACAGAGGACACACAGAGGACACACAGAGGACACACAGAGGACACAGAGAGGACACACGGAGGACACAGAGAGGACACACAGAGGACACACAGAGGACACACGGAGGACACAGAGAGGACACAGAGAGGACACAGAGAGGACACACAGAGGACACACAGAGGACACAGAGGACACAGAGAGGACACACGGAGGACACAGAGGACACAGAGGACACACAGAGGACACAGAGAGGACACACGGAGGTCACAGAGAGGACACAGAGAGGACACAGAGGACACAGAGAGGACACACGGAGGACACAGAGAGGACACACAGAGGACACACAGAGGACACAGAGGACACACGGAGGACACAGAAAGGACACAGAGAGGACACACAGAGGACACAGAGAGGACACAGAGAGGACACAGAGGACACAGAGGACACACAGAGGACACACAGAGGACACAGAGGACACACGGAGGACACAGAGAGGACACACAGAGGACACACAGAGGACACAGAGGACACACGGAGGACACAGAGAGGACACAGAGAGGACACAGAGAGGACACAGAGGACACAGAGAGGACACACAGAGGACACACAGAGGACACAGAGGACACAGAGAGGACACAGAGAGGACACAGAGAGGACACACAGAGGACACAGAGGACACAGAGAGGACACACAGAGGACACAGAGGACACAGAGAGGACACAGAGAGGACACAGAGAGGACACACAGAGGACACAGAGGACACAGAGAGGACACAGAGAGGACACACAGAGGACACAGAGAGGACACAGAGAGGCCACAGAGGACACACAGAGGACACAGAGGACACACAGAGGACACAGAGAGGACACAGAGAGGCCACAGAGGACACACAGAGGACACAGAGAGGACACACAGAGGACACACAGAGGACACACAGAGGACACAGAGGACAATGGGTCTCTGTGATGTCACATGCAGAGGAGACGAGAACAAAGAAGCGTGTTGTGAAGAACGATGGAAACAGAAGAGACTAAAGTGTTTCACAGTAATGTTACTACTTCAGTCTCTGAAAAGTACTACACGACTGCAGTACTCTGAGGTTTTATATATATATATATATATATATATATATATATATATATATATATATATATATATATATATATATATATATACAGTGCCTTGCGAAAGAATTCGGCCCCCTTGAACCTTTCAACATTTCGCCACATTTCAGGCTTCAAACATAAAGATATAAAAATATTTTTTTCTGTCAAGAATCAACAACAAGTGGGACACAATCGTGAAGTGGAACCAATTTATACTTTTTTAACAAATAAAAAACTAAAAAGAGGGGTGTGCAATATTATTCGGCCCCCTTGCGCTAATACTTTGTAGCGCCACCTTTTGCTGCAATTACAGCTGCAAGTCGCTTGGGGTATGTCTCTATCAGTTTTGCACATTGAGAGACTGGAATTCTTGCCCATTCTTCCTTGCAAAACAGCTGGAGCTCAGTGAGGTTGGATGGAGAGCGTTTGTGAACAGCAGTCTTCAGCTCTTTCCACAGATTCTCGATTGGATTCAGGTCTGGACTTTGACTTGGCCATTCTAACACCTGGATACGTCTATTTGTGAACCATTCCATTGTAGATTTGGCTTTATGTTTTGGATCATTGTCCTGTTGGAAGATAAATCTCTGTCCCAGTCTCAGGTCTTTTGCAGACTCCAACAGGTTTTCTTCCAGAATGGTCCTGTATTTGGCTCCATCCATCTTCCCATCAATTTTAGCCATCTTCCCTGTCCCTGCTGAAGAAAAGCAGGCCCAAAGCATGATGCTGCCACCACCATGTTTGACAGCGGGGATGGTGTGTTCAGGGTGATGAGCTGTGTTGCTTTTACGCCAAACATATCGTTTTGCATTGTGGCCAAAAAGTTCGATTTTGGTTTCATCTGACCAGAGCACCTTCTTCCACATGTTTGGTGTGTCTCCCAGGTGGCTTGTGGCAAACTTTAAACCAGACTTTTATGGATATCTTTGAGAAATGGCTTTCTTCTTGCCACTCTTCCATAAAGGCCAGATTTGTGCAGTGCACGACTGATTGTTGTCCTATGGACATACTCTCCCACCTCAGCTGTAGTTATCTGCAGTTCATCCAGAGTGATCATGGGCCTCTTGGCTGCATCTCTGATCAGTCTTCCCCTTGTTTTAGATGAAAGTTTGGAGGGACGGCCGGGTCTTGGTAGATTTGCAGTGGTCTGATACTCCTTCCATTTCAATATAATTGCTTGCACAGTGCTCCTTGAGATGTTTAAAGCTTGGGAAATCTTTTTGTATCCAAATCCGGCTTTAAACTTCTCCACAACAGTATCTCGGACCTGCCTGGTGTGTTCCTTTGTCGTCATGGTTCTCTCTGCGCTTTAAACAGAACCTTGAGACTATCAAAGAGCAGGTGCATTTATACGGAGACTTGATTACACACAGGTGCATTCTATTTATCATCATCAGTCATTTAGGACAACATTGGATCATTCAAAGATCCTCACTGAACTTCTGGACTGAGTTTGCTGCACTGAAAGTAAAGGGGCCCAATAATATTGCAAGCCCCACTTTTCAGTTTTTTATTTGTTAAAAAAGTTTTAATTATCCAATACATTTTGTTCCACTTCACGATTGTGTCCCACTTGTTGTTGATTCATGACAAGAAATTAAAATTTTATATCTTTATGTTTGAAGCCTGAAATGTGGCGAAATGTTGAAAGGCACTGTATATACTACATCATTACGGTCTCTGAAAAGTACTACACGACTGCAGTACTCTGAGGTTTCCCCAAATGTATAAATACAAGCTAAAAATAGCTTATGATGCTACTGCATACTTAAATATTTTTGTTTTCCTCGTATTCAGTCATTTTGACCTTTTACATCTTTTCAAAAGTGGAAGAAATCAGAAGCACATTTGATAATCCAACACCACACTCCTGTTTCAGAGAACTGCTGTTTTTAAATCATCTGTGGTTCGAGTCCTGTGATATCAGTTTGAATCACTCTTGAAAGTTCTCCATCCATTTTCTTCCCCTTAATCCATGTCTGGGTCGGGGGTGGCAGTCAGAGCACCAGCCCCTCACTGATCCTCCTGCAGGAGCTGAGTCCACAGGAGCTGAGATCTTTCAATGGGGGCTTCAGGCAAAGTGGGGTTAAGTGTCTTGTCCAAGGACACAACGACAGCAGACATCAGTGGGAGTCGTTGTGAATAACTACTCACATTTCAACAACATAATCTCTTTAATACATGTTGTCAGCCGCTGGTTCAAAACTACAGGTTATCTGGACATCAGCACAAACAGACAAGTTACAGACTACAGTCTAGTCTGGGTCTCTGCTGGATGGAAAGCAGAAGAGTGACAAAGAATGGACCAAAGAGCTCTCGTCTTATACCATGATAATTTGAAACACATGTGACCATTTGTCCCAACATCCTTAGGTGAAGACAATACCTCCTTTCTCCAAGACACACAGTAGCCCCTCTCAAAGTAAGCCTGAGGCTACTCTAAACAGATGTTTTCTTCGTTCTTGCCTTAATTTAACTTCCTGTGTTTCATGGGGGATGGGAGAATGCTGCTGATGCGTCCATCACATCCCATCACACACGTAGGTTAACCCAAAGCTGTCTAAACTTTTAATATATTCTAATTCACTTTAATGAAAATCCAACAACTCTACTAACATTTCCCTTCTGTTTTTCATTAAAAGAATTAATCACATTCAATGTTTAGTAAACCAACTTAAAGATGGAACACAATGAAATTAATACAAACACAGTATTACATTTGAATCCAAGTCGTGTCGACTCAACTTAGAGACCCCTCTTGACATGTGTCTTATAAAAATCACATTGGTTACAGAAACACACACAGAAAAGAACTCAAAAAAGTTTTTTAGAGATCATTTCATATTCATATGTAATTGCTCCCCCATAAACCATATCTCCCCCCTGTTTGAGACATTAAAAATGGCTCAATAACTAAATATAATTCCTAATTATTCATGTGCATGAAATGAAAAAGACACAAATACCCAATTTACTCATGTAAATTAATGTAGCATCAAAATGTATAAACTAAACGTTCATTTGAAATGTATTAAACTGGAACTTTTAACCTGAAATATTTTCACCTGAAATGTGTCAACTTTGGTTAGCAAATTACACCCCACACCAAAAAGCCTATTGTCCAGTAACGCCTGTTGTAGAAACGCCTCCACACCCCAATGTCTTCTGCAGCCAGCAACGTCCAGCCCCATCCAGCACAGCCCCATCATGTCCAGAAGCCTCTGTCCTGTTCACACACTTTAGAACCGACAGCAAAAACTGGAAACCTCCAGTCCTCAGATCTTTGCACAAAGGTGATGTCTTCGGTCGACCCAGTCTTTCAGATTTTTTGGAAATCTGCAAAATGTCCCAAAAACACACAGAGTCAAGTTGTTGATTTGAGTCTGACCTCTGGATGACCCTTTGCATCATTGCTTCTGTCGTTGCAGCATTTAGCCCTGGTTTGGCCTGCTGATTTGGCTTAGTTTGGCTTGGTTTGCTGGTTGATGATTGGTGGGGGTGGGAGTGGGCGACTCCTGGTCATGGCTGAGGCAAGGAAAAATTTTAAACCTTTGGAGGAGGCTAAAAAGAGGAAACGCGAAAGGGATCGTGCTGTAAGCTGCATGTCTGTATGAGCGCTGCTCTTCACCTGGTTCCTGGATGTCATCGACCGCAACGATGTCATTCCACGCAGCACGAGCTAGACGCAGAACTCCCTCATCCAGGATATAGAAGTCCATGTGTGGTAGATTACTAATGCAGCGGTCTGGAGGCTGACCACAGCAGAGTCTCTCAATATCTGTAGGCATGTCTCTACAGTTTGAACACACACACCAGTGCATGCTGTCTGAATACACACTCAAAAGACACCGGCTGACTGTTTGACTTTTGCGACAGTGCTGAGTTGCTTGTGGCCACTAGGGGCGCTAAACGTGAAAGTTGCAGGTCTAGCGCCCCTAGTGGCCAAGAGTTACACGGTGTGCCTTTAAGGACTTTTTAGTCTAAAACTAATTGTTACTTCTGGTTTCGTCCCGATTCCGTTTATGATCTAGTGTATGTAATGTAATGTAATGTTTATTTATATACCGCCTTTTCACTGCACATCGGAGTCTCAAAGCGGTTTACAATTGTTATTATTTTTGGGAGTGGGGCCAGTACAGGAGGCACATGCCAGAACTATTGTACATATTTTTAGTGGTAGGGGAAACCGGAGCACCCGGAGGAAACCTACGCAGACACGGGGAGAACATGCAAACTCCACTCAGAAAGGCCCTGGTCCCACCGGGATTCGAACCCAGGACCTTCTTGCTGAGAGGCGAGAGTGCTAACCACTCAGCCACCGTGGCGACCGAGGCAGGTGTCCCATGTGTGCGACAGGAGTAAGGTTCCCTCGTCTTGGTTGATAGTTTCTGACGTCCATCGCTCCCATGATCCAGAGTTTGTTTTTGTGGTCATTTCTCTCGCCGTGATCTAAAATGGCTGATTGAGATTTCTCCACTGTGAGGCAAATCAAAGATCTAAATTACAGAGAGCTAATGGGAATATTTGTAACCAGCGTTTAAAGATCAGAGATAAAAGGACAAAAGTCCACGTATAGAAAGAAGCTTTATTAGAACAAACCTGGAGAACAGCCTCGTTAGCATTTTTTCACTTTTTGCAACATCTGAGCATTAAAAAAGACAAAATACAAAAGATGTATATTTATGGCAACCACTCACTGAAGACACATGATAAAAGCATTAAAAGGCCCCTCCCCTCCCTGTGACTACCCCGTACGTGACATCACATCCACACATATACTAGTCCCAAAACATAGATAAATACGTTTATTCATAAATATTCCATCGTGAGTCGCGTCTCTGCGCGGCGCCCTCAGTCCGCGAACCGTGAGAGAATCCAGTTTAAAGTGTATCTGTGAAGATCCAACCAAAACAGTGAACGGTGAGTCTGTGAGGAGGGGGGGGGGGTGAGGAGGGGGGAGGGAGGACGGGGTGGATGCTTTCTTGGCAGACGGCTGTAAAAAGCACACGGCGGTGAGAGAGTGGTGCAGTTCAGATCTTGGGCAGCTTGGGGGCGCTGATGAGCGGGTTGGCCTCCAGCAGCAGGCGGCGCCCAGAACTCTTGTAGTCATAGGAACAGGCGTGACTCTCGGCGTAACGGTGGGAGGCACACAGGTTCTGACCACACCTGAGGGGGAGGGAGAGAGAGGGGGAGAGAGAGTGAGGGGGAGAGAGAGAGTGAGGGGGAGAGAGAGTGAGGAGGAGAGAGGAGAAACGTGAGCATGCAATAGATGTAGTCACTTTAATGTCAGAATGTGATGCGTCTGTCCCACAGCCCCATGCTGCTAACATGCTAACATGCTAACATGCTAACATGTGCAGATGCTCCTGGCCCTCCTGACCAGTCCAGTGAAACCTGAGGGTGACCTCAGAGCCAGTATAGAGCTGGGAGGGACTAGTTTAGGCTCTTGGTCTCTCCTCGAGGTATATTTTTTGTGATGTCTGATTCTTGTAATGATTCCGTGTCATTAAATGTCCTCTTTTATATTTATTGGGCAACGATTATTATTAGCAACGATTACATTTCCATGGGCCCAGTTAGACAAGGCAAGGCAAGGCAAGTTTATTTGTATAGCACAATTCATACACAAGGCAACTCAAAGTGCTGAACAAAACAAGAAAGCATTAAAATCATAAATAATCACAGAACATTAAAAAGAAAGATAAAAATATAAAATCTATGTTATTGTTATTTTAGTATTTAGTTATTTTTCAATTATCCTCATTCTACTGTTTTGTTTCCCCACTGTGGGACCATCTGGGACTCTGACCTCTGACCCCTGACTCAGACTGACCTGCACTCGAAGCTGGTGGCCAGGCCGGTCTTCTTGCCGCAGTGGAAGCAGTGCTTAGAGGAGGAGGTCTTCTTCTTGGCTCCAGCAGACGCCCGGACGGGAGGCAGAGGCTGAGACGAGGAGCCTGAGGAGGAGGAGGAGCAGGAAGAGGAAGAGGAGGAGGAAGAGAGCACACGTTAAGGCCCGTTTATAAAGAGACTTTGCAAAGTGACAAAAACGACACAATGACAGAAAACCATGTAGTTGTAGCTTGTGGTCAGTAGGGGGCAGTGGAACCACAACACACACAACCCACAGCAGTAGAAGAACTTCAACAACACCCTCCTCAGGCCAAAGACGGGAAAGAACCAACATCATCACGATGCCGTCAGACTGTAGAAGGAGTCCTGTCGAGCCATGATGGTTCGGTCGGCCTCAAAAAGATCCTGGCAAACCGTCCAGCGCCTCAGGAGGGGAAGGAGTGCTTTGCCAACACCGCGGTGTCAGTGGAGTGGCAGACGGGGGGGTGGTCCCTCTGAGACCGGGGTGGTGGTCCCTCTCTACAAACACTCACACACACACACACACACACACACACACACACACTCACTCACTCACCTATTCTCCCCACAGAGGTCAGGACTCCAGCGGCCGCCGTCTCACTGCTGGACGCCTGGAACACAACAACACTGATGTTTCAGAACCAATGGATCGAACACCTGTGGAGCAGTGACAGAGTCCAAAAGAAAAAGAAAAACTAGATATGGCCTTTTGTGTGCTCAGCTCTTTCCTAGATGATTGACAAGTAGACTCAGATTCAAATGACATCACCATCTTAAAGAGGGTGGACTGGGATTATAGTGTGGTCTTGGTAATGCTCAGAGATGGAAAACCTTGTATCAATGACATCATAGATCGTATCAATGACATCATAGATTGTATCAATGACATCATAGATCGTATCAATGACATCATAGATCGTATCAATGACATCATAGATTGTATCAATGACATCATAGATTGTATCAATGACATCATAGATCGTATCAATGACATCATAGATCGTATCAATGACATCATAGATCGTATCAATGACATCATAGATCGTATCAATGACATCATAGATTGTATCAATGACATCATAGATCGTATCAATGACATCATAGATCGTATCAATGACATCATAGATCGTATCAATGACATCATAGATCATATCAATGACATAAAGTAATCTTTTAATCTTTATTTATATACCGCCTTTCACAGATCTGAGTCTCAAAGCGGTTTACAATTGTTATTGTTTGGGCATTTGTCTCTCACTCCACACAGAGATGGGAGCAAGGTCGCCGAACAGGAGGCACATGCCAGAACTATTGTACATATTTTTAGGGGTAGGGGAAACCGGAGTACCCGGAGGAAACCTACGCAGACACGGGGAGAACATGCAAACTCCACTCAGAAAGGCCCTGGTCCGACCGGGATTCGAACCCAGGACCTTCTTGCTGACAGGCGAGAGTGCTATCCACTCCGCCCGGTCATCAATGACATCATAGATCGTATCAATGACATCATAGATCGTATAGATCGTATCAATGACATCATAGATTGTATCAATGACATCATAGATCGTATCAATGATCGTATCAATGACATCATAGATCTGGCTAAGGCAACATGGAGCAGTGGCGCAGCACGCTGTGTGTCCTGTACCTGACGCACCGTGTGATTCACTGAGTAGTTCCTGCCGAGGGTCTGTGAGGTCTGAGGTCTGTGAGGTCAAACTGAAAGGACAGAGGTCCAGGACACTCCTCTTGTCTGTCCTATTTCTTGAACTTTTTGATTCTCTGATCTGTGTTGGTGAATAGACAGCTTTGTAAAGTCCTCAGACCTACTGTCCTGCTGCTATGCTTCTTAGATCTGGAATTTGAACCTTTTACAGCTATCTACTAGGGATGTAAAAAACTATGCATTTTCATGACCGACCACCGAGCCTCATTAACCGGTTGAAACCGGTTGACCACGTAGTTTAAAAAATTCCACGTTCTTTGAAATAGCAGCCATTTCGAGCCGCGTACTTTTCATAAGTGCAGCTCTGCGTTCTACTGGATCAGAGCTGAGACAGCGGCGCCCAAACCCGCAACAGCTCCGGCACCTTTGCGCACAGAGAACTGCTTTTTTAATCTTCCCATTCTGCTGTGCTGCGGGTTAAAGCATTTTTAAGCAAAAGACGGCTTGTTCACATGGTCAGAGCAGCGAGTTACACGCCGCGTCTCGCAGGTCTCTGCTAAAGTTTAAAAGTGATGTGTGTGGATCTGATCTAATGACAAGGACCAGCAGCACAAACATGTTTCATGTGTTTGACTGGGGCCGCGTATTTCCGAGGATTCTTTGGGCTGCGAGACACAGAGGTGCGCGACAGACCGGTATGTGTGTGTGTACAATACATGTATGTATGTGTGTGTAAATATAAGCTCCAATGTAGTTCTGACCTGCACTAGTGTGGAACTTTGGCGGTAACAGAGGGGAGAGATGATGCGTGTGGATGTTACGTATGGAGGGGGGTAAAGTGTGTGTGTGTGTGTGTGTGTATGTGTGCGCGCACGCGTGTGCGTGGCTGCGTGCACATGTGGAGCGTGCACCATGAAAGTCGCCCGTAGTCTACTAATGCATTGGCGCACACAGCTAGATACAGACCCGCTCCTCACATCGTACAAATAGGGTTTAAAATAGCGTTATTAAGAGACCTCCCCTCTCCGCTTTTTCTTATTTTTAACCGACAGCTTTGACCGGTTAACGCTGTGACGGTCAACCACCGGCTAAACGGTCATCGATTTACATCCCTACTATCTACAGTGCCTTGCGAAAGTATTCAGGATGGTGTGTTCAGAGTGATGAGCTGTGTTGCTTTTACGCCAAACATATCGTTTTGCATTGTGGCCAAAAAGTTCTTCTTCCACATGTTTGGTGTGTCTCCCAGGTGGCTTGTGGCAAACTTTAAGAGACTTTTTATGGATATCTTTGAGAAATGGCCACTCTTCCATAAAGGCCAGATTTGTGCAGTGCACGACTGATTGTTGTCCTATGGACACACTCTCCCACCTCAGCTGTAGTTATCTGCAGTTCATCCAGAGTGATCATGGGCCTCTTGGCTGCATCTCTGATCAGTCTTCTCCTTGTTTGAGATGAAAGTTTGGAGGGACGGCCGGGTCTTGGTAGATTTGCAGTGGTCTGATACTCCTTCCATTTCAATATAATTGCTTGCACAGTGCTCCTTGAGATGTTTAAAGCTTGGGAAATCTTTTGTATCCAAATCCGGCTTTAAACTTCTCCAAAACAGTATCTCGGACCTGCCTGGTGTGTTCCTTTGTCGTCATGGTTCTCTCTGCGCTTTAAACAGAACCTTGAGACTATCAAAGAGCAGGTGCATTTATACGGAGACTTGATTACACACAGGTGCATTCTATTTATCATCATCAGTCATTTAGGACAACATTGGATCATTCAAAGATCCTCACTGAACTTCTGGACTGAGTTTGCTGCACTGAAAGTAAAGGGGCCCAATAATATTGCACGCCCCACTTTTCAGTTTTTTATTTGTTAAAAAAGTTCAAATTATCCAATACATTTCGTTCCACTTCACGATTGTGTTCCACTTGTTGTTAATTCATGACAAAAAATTAAAATGTTATATCTTTATGTTTGAAGACTAAAATGTGGCGAAATGTTGAAAGGTTCAAGGGGGCCGAATACTTTCGCAAGGCACTGTATGTAGAGTAAAGTTCTATACGCACAGTGGGGCAAAGGAGTATTTAGTCAGCCACCAACCAAAAATTCTCCCACTTAAAAGATGAGGGTAATATCCATCATAAATGAACCTCAACTATGAGAGTGCAGGCCTACAGTTTAGTTTCTGGTGTCCTTTGACAGTCTTCCCAGCCTGGTGCAGGTCTACCATCTCGTCTTTGGTCTTGGTCATCTTTGTAAGTGGGAGAATCTGCAGAGCTGCTGCTGACTAATTACTTGTTTGTCCCTCTGTATTCTGAGATTGCACATTGAATCAATCACCATCTGTGTCGTAACGCCCCAGTGCAGAGGCAGCTTCTCCCTCCCTCCATCACTGTCAGTCCTGCCTGGGGTGGGCCTGGAGGACAGGGTGGGTCTGGAGGACAGGGTGGGCCTGGAGGACAGGGTGGGTCTGGAGGACAGGGTGGGTCTGGAGGACAGAGAGGCCATGAGCTCGGTCTGGCTCAGCGTCCCGGCAGGCTGCTTGCAGGCCTGGTTTGCCGCCCTGGTGATCCCTCGGGCCTCTCTCTTGCTGAGGAGCTCTGGCCTCCTGCCGGGGGACTCCACCTTCACCCCTCGGAGGCAGCGCGAGGGCAGAGGAGACACCGGTTTGACCAGAGTCTGCGCGGCGCCGGGAGAGGGTGGGCCGAGGCGGACCGAGGCGCGGTCTCTGGAGTCCAGCGCCCACGACATCTGCAGCGCGGCGTCTCTGGGGCTCGACACGTCCAGCGTCAGAGGGTCTGTGAACTCTGAGAAGGGCTCCTCCAGCAGCCGCAGCCCCAGGTTCTCTGCGTCAGGGCCCCCCCGAGTGCACAGCGGCGGCAGCTGGGGGTACACGCAGTCCCGCATCAGCCGCCCGCCCAGCTCCAGCCGCGACACTTTGGGAGGGGGGCGGATGTTGGCCAGAGGAGGGCAGGTGTCCCACTGCTCGTCCTGGAGGGCATAGGAGGAGGACGGGGAGGGGGAGGTGTAGAAGTGGGGCTCACTGGGGTCCTGGAGGGGGGGCAGCTGGGAGGCAGAGGGGCGGCTGGGTGGGAGGTAGGACAGGGATCTGAAGAACCGCTGCTGAGGATAGTGTCTCTGGGCAGAGGGGGAGGGGGTGAGGAGCGAGGGGTGGGGGGAGACAGGGGGGCGGGGCTTCACTTTGCCAGATTTCTTGGGCTGAAAGAAAAAAAAGCAAGGACCACATTTAATTTAATCCAAAGTATTTGTGTGTCGCCCTGAAACCCAACAGTAGTTTCTCTGAGGACGTTGCACAGATGTGGATTCTCCACAGATCAGAGAATCAACAGAACACACAAAGAACTTAAAACACATGATAAATGTTAAAGTGTCCTGGATCATCACCACATTCTCTTCCCTCCCTCCCTCCCCTTTCTCCCCCCTCTTCCTCCCTCTCTCCCTTCTCTTTCCTCCCTCCCTCCCCTCCCTCACCTTCTTGTTGAGGTTCATGTCCTCCATCTTGGCCTTGAGCATCTTCATCTTGCTCATGGTGATGCAGTTTTGGCGGCTGTGTTGTTCTAGAGCGCTCTCCCCGTCCTCCTCCTCCGGGAACACGTTACACACCGAGCCCCCGCTGAGGAAACATACAAACGACTGTGTCAGACTGTACAACGAACACTGCGGAGGCGTGTACCGTTGTAGACTTCCAGGTTCTCTCAGCCGTAAGTAGAGCAGTCGCAATACAAATATTTGAAAGCACAACATATGAAGCTGCAATTTCCCCCATTTTGGTTCCGGAAGTAAAGTCATGACATTTGCCCAGAGGAGATACTAAGAGGAGGCCAACACCCAGGATCTCAGAGCCCGTCTGACCTGATGGACTGGGACAGGGGCGTGAGCGTGCCGTCTCCTCGGTCCACCACTCTGAAGAAGTTGAGCTGGTCTCCTTCTCTGTAGACCACAAACGTGACCTGTTTGTTGGGCGCGCTCTGGTCCTTGGTGGGGTCCATCAGCTCGCCCAGGTCCTTGGCCGGCTCCTCCACGGTCACTGCGGCAGCACCGAACATCACGTCAATAACAAACATCAAACAACTACATTCAGTTCATTTCAGTTGGGTAAAGTCATATGATAACTGTTTTATCTCTGAGGACTTTACAAAGATGTCGATTCTCCAACACAGATCAGAGAATCACACAAACACAGTTCACACACAGATAAAACAGAGTGTCCTGGATCCTCTCTGTCCTCAGACTGAGTAAACGACTGATAGAGGCGGAGGTGTGTGTGGCTGTACCTTTCCTGGTGTTGATGGGGCCTCCTCTCATGGCCAGCACCAGCTTCAGAGTGCAGCCCTCTGCGATCCTGAACATACGTTATTGGTTTATTTAACAACTGATTTGGACACATCCTTCACTCAACTGTTGGTTTTGAAAATGGCCTCAGTTGGTGTTTAAAACCAGCTCAGTCTGAGTTCAGTCTGAGCTGAGGACTGAGAGATCCAGAGCCTTGACCCTGGACAGAGAGACCGAGTCTGGTTCTGGTTCTACAGAGAGAACGTTCACATTTCCATCGGAGGAGCCTTGTGCTGGAGCCAGCAGGGGGCGCCACATGGCCAACATGAGTATGATCAGGTGGAGGCCTCACTGGTTTGATGGTCTTCACTGAGGCCTGGGACCAGCAGCTGACACGGTCCCTGGTGTGAGACGCAATCATGACAAGCTGCAGGAAGATACTGTGTTGTGCGTGTCTGTGTTGTGCGTGTCTGTGTTGTGCGTGTCTGTGTTGTGCGTGTCTGTTGTGCGTGTCTGTTGTGCGTGTCTGTGTTGTGCATGTCTGTGTTGTGCGTGTCTGTGTTGTGCATGTCTGTGTTGTGCGTGTCTGTGTTGTGCGTGTCTGTGTTGTGCGTGTCTGTGTTGTGTGTGTTGTGTGTGTCTGTGTTGTGCGTGTCTGTGTTGTGTGTGTTGTGCGTGTCTGTGTTGTGCGTGTCTGTATGTGTCTGTGTTGTGCGTGTCTGTGTTGTGTGTGTTGTGCGTGTCTGTGTTGTGTGTGTTGTGCGTGTCTGTGTTGTGTGTGTTGTGCGTGTCTGTTGTGTGTGTTGTGCGTGTCTGTGTTGTGTGTGTTGTGCGTGTCTGTTGTGTGTGTTGTGCGTGTCTGTGTTGTGTGTGTTGTGCGTGTCTGTTGTGTATCACAGCTCTGAGCTCCTTCAGTCTCTGTCTTTTCTCTGATCTGACTCAGAGCTTATCTTCAAACTACTTTTCGTTTTCAGGCTCAATAGTAAAACATCACAAATAAAAACAGGAACACTAGAGTTAAACTTTATGGCAAAACAATTATTTAATATAAAACTTCCAGTCTAGAGTTTATACTTTGATATTAGTATAAACTCGTTGCTATGGTGACGCATGACAGGGTTCTCAAACTGTGGTATGAAACAGGAAGTGTTCATACCCGTAGTCATGGAGACAGTGATCATCATCCAGCTCCACGTTGTTCCAGATCAGGTGCTGCTGGCCCACGGGGATCCCTGCACACAGAGCAATCACACACGAGGCGCAATCACACGCGGTGCAATCACACACGGCGCAATCACACACGGTGCAATCACACACGGTGCAATCACACGCGGTGCAATCATACACGGCGCAATCACACACGGTGCAATCACACACGGTGCAATCACACGTGGCGCAATCACACACAGAGCAATCACACACACGGCGCAATCACACACGGCGCAATCACACACACGGCGCAATCACACGCGGCGCAATCACACGCGGCGCAATCACACGCGGCGCAATCACACGCGGCGCAATCACACACAGAGCAATCACACACAGAGCAATCACACACACGGCGCAATCACAAGCTGTGCAATCACACACAGAGCAATCACACACACGGCGCAATCACAAGCTGTGCAATCACACGCGGTGCCATCACACGCGCCGCAATCACACACGCCGCAATCACACGTGGAGAAATCATACACGGTGAAATCACACACAGAGCAATCACACACGGCGTAATGACAAGCTGTGCAATCACACGCGGTGCAATCACACACGGCGCAAAAAAACCACACGGCGCAATCACACGCGGTGCCATCACACGCGGTGCCATGAAACACGGAGCAATCACACATGGCGCAATTACACGCGGCGCAATCACACACGCGGCGCAATCACACACGGTGCAATCACACACGGTGCAATCACACGCGGTGCAATCACACGCGGTGCAATCATACACGGCGCAATCACACACGGTGCAATCACACACGGTGCAATCACACGTGGCGCAATCACACAAGAGCAATCACACACACGGCGCAATCACACACGGCGCAATCACACACAGAGCAATCACACACACGGCGCAATCACACGCGGCGCAATCACACGCGGCGCAATCACACGCGGCGCAATCACACGCGGCGCAATCACACGCGGCGCAATCACACACAGAGCAATCACACACGCGGCGCAATCACACGCGGCGCAATCACACGCGGCACAATCACACACATGGCGCAATCACACACAGAGCACTCACACACACGGCGCAATCACAAGCTGTGCAATCACACGCGGTGCCATCACACGCGCCGCAATCACACACGCCGCAATCACACGTGGAGAAATCATACACGGTGAAATCACACACAGAGCAATCACACACGGCGTAATGACAAGCTGTGCAATCACACGCGGTGCAATCACACACGGCGCAAAAAAACCACACGGCGCAATCACACGCGGTGCCATCACACGCGGTGCCATGAAACACGGAGCAATCACACATGGCGCAATTACACGCGGCGCAATCACACACGCGGCGCAATCACACGCGGCGCATCACACGCGGCGCAATCACACGCGGCGCAATCACACGCGGCACAATCACACACACGGCGCAATCACACACAGAGCAATCACACACACGGCGCAATCACAAGCTGTGCAATCACACGCGATGCAATCACACGCGGTGCAATCACACGCGGTGCCATCACACACGGTGCCATCACACACGGCGCAATCACACACGGCGCAATCACACGTGGCAAAATCACACACGGTGAAATTACACACAGAGCAATCACACACGGCGTAATGACAAGCTGTGCAATCACACGCAGTGCAATCACACGCGGTGCAATCACACACGGCGCAAAAAAACCACACGGCGCAATCACACGCGGTGCCATCACACACAGTGCCATGACACACGGAGCAATCACACACACGCCGCAATCACACACACGCCGCAATCACAGAACGGTGCAATCACACACGGTGCAATCACACACGGAGAAAACACACGCAGCGCAATTACACGCGGCGCAATCACACACACGATGCAATCACACACACGGTGCAATCACACACACGGCGCAATCACACACACGATGCAATCACACACACGGTGCAATCACACACACGGTGCAATCACACACACGGTGCAATCACACACACACGGTGCAATCACACACGGTGCAATCACACACAGAGCAATCACACACGGCGCAATCACACACGGCGCAATCACACGCCGCAATCACACACACGGTGCAATCACACGCCGCAATCACACAGCCAGGCTGATAACAGTCCTCTTTAGTTTAGTATATGGCTAGGAAGGTAAGACTCAGGGAAGGCTAAACTCCTCAGACTGTCAGTCAAGCTGCATAGGGAGCCCCCTGCTGGAGAAGTATGGTAACTTGAGCACTATCCTCTCCTCCTTCCTACTTTATCTGTTTAGCATTTTTAGAATTTTACTGTAGTCTGTTCATTGCTATTCGCCCGTTGTCCCATTGTCTGTTTCATGGTACGATGACGGGATCTCTGAGCCTGGCCTCCTCCATCTACACCTGCGGACTGCCCCGCCCCCCTGCCCTGTCCTGCCCTGTACTGCCCTGCCCCTCTGCCCCCGTCAGAAGTGTGTGCGTGTGTCCTCATGGGGCCCGGTCCGCATGGGGCCCGGTCCGCATGGGGCCCGGTCCGCATGGGGCCCGGTCCGCATGGGGCCCGGTCCGCATGGGGCCTGTACCTTCGAGCCTCTGGATCTTGGCCTTGACAGAGAGGATGGGTTCGAAGGGCAGCACTCGGAGCTGGAAGCAGGTTCCGGTCAGCGTCTCTATGTAGAGCTCCATGGTGTCGTAGAAGGGCAGCTTGTACTGGAAGGAGCCCACGCTCTCATCGTTGAAGAAGGGCGGCTCTTTCCTGTCGGCCATCTTGTTTTAGCTCAGGGGGGTCTGCTCCTCACAGCTGTGATGTCACACAACAAACCATTCAGTTCAATTTATTTATGTATTTCCCTGAATCACAAAACTGTCGATTCCCCAACCCAGATCAGAGAATCACACAATTCAAACAGGAGGAGACCAGAGGAGGAGACCAGAGGAGGGGACCAGAGGAGGAGACCAGAGGAGCGGACCAGAGGAGCGGACCAGAGGAGCGGACCAGAGGAGCGGACCAGAGGAGCGGACCAGAGGAGCGGACCAGAGGAGCGGACCAGAGGAGCGGACCAGAGGAGCGGACCAGAGGAGCGGACCAGAGGAGGGAGCGGACCAGAGGAGCGGACCAGAGGAGCGGACCAGAGGAGCGGACCAGAGGAGCGGACCAGAGGAGCGGACCAGAGGAGCGGACCAGAGGAGCGGACCAGAGGAGCGGACCAGAGGAGCGGACCAGAGGAGCGGACCAGAGGAGGAGACCAGAGGAGGAGACCAGAGGAGGAGACCAGAGGAGCGGACCAGTGGAGCGGACCAGAGGAGCGGACCAGAGGAGCGGACCAGAGGAGCGGACCAGAGGAGCGGACCAGAGGAGCGGACCAGAGGAGCGGACCAGAGGAGCGGACCAGAGGAGCGGACCAGAGGAGCGGACCAGAGGAGCGGACCAGAGGAGCGGACCAGAGGAGCGGACCAGAGGAGCGGACCAGAGGAGCGGACCAGAGGAGGGACCAGAGGAGCGGACCAGAGGAGCGGACCAGAGGAGCGGACCAGAGGAGCGGACCAGAGGAGCGGACCAGAGGAGCGGACCAGAGGAGCGGACCAGAGGAGCGGACCAGAGGAGCGGACCAGAGGAGCGGACCAGAGGAGCGGACCAGAGGAGCGGACCAGAGGAGCGGACCAGAGGAGGAGACCAGAGGAGGAGACCAGAGGAGGAGACCAGAGGAGCGGACCAGTGGAGCGGACCAGTGGAGCGGACCAGAGGAGCGGACCAGAGGAGCGGACCAGAGTAGCGGACCAGAGGAGCGGACCAGAGGAGGAGACCAGAGGAGCGGACCAGAGGAGCGGACCAGAGGAGCGGACCAGAGGAGCGGACCAGAGGAGCGGACCAGAGGAGGGGACAAGAGGAGGGGACCAGGAGTGGACTCACACACATGGTCATGTATCTTTTAGAACTCATTAGCTTCAGAGTGAGTGCTGCAGGACAAACTCAGGTCTTTCATCAAACATTTAGAGCCACATTGAAAACTGGAGCCAAAACTCAAGATGATCACAAGTGATACAGAGACACAGAGAGACAGAGAGAGAGCGAGACAGAGGCAGAGACAGAGAGAGAGCAAAAGAGAGACACACAGAGAAAGAGACAGAGAGAGAGACAGACAGAGACAGAGAGACACACAGAGACAGAGACAGAGGCAGAAACACAGTATCCTGTAGCCCAGTGACATTGATGGATCACCTTTGGAACATGGTGAGAGAGATCTATAGAATTCTTCCAGAGGACAAGAGGACCAGAGGACAAGAGGACCAGAGGACAAGAGGACCAGAGGACAAGAGGACAAGAGGACCAGAGGACAAGAGGACCAGAGGACAGAGACGGAGGACCAGTTGTGACTCGCGGAGGCTGGAAGAGGACACTTTCTCTGTCCTCTGGCCGCAGTGGGATCAGGTGTCATGAAAGCATCAGCAGAGTCCGCCTCAGAACACTTTAACACACACTTGACATTTGAGCTTCAACTTTAGCGTCTCAAGCTAATGCGTACTTTGGAGTAAAGGAATGAAAGGAAACTAAAAGAACAAGATGGTCAATGTAGATTTATATTTAGACACAGAGAAATGTAATTATTTCAGGAATAAAAAAGATAGTTAGGCCTTTGTAACGATTCCATTAAATTAATTCTCCATCAATGCATTTTCTTCCCATTGATGAGACAGATGGGGACAGACCGAGACAGACGGGGACAGACCGAGACAGACGGGGACAGACCGAGACAGACGGGGACAGACCGAGACAGACGGGGACAGACCGAGACAGACGGGGACAGACCGAGACAGACGGGGACAGACAGAGACAGACGGGGACAGACGGAGACAGACGGGGACAGACCGAGACAGACGGACACAGACCGAGACAGACGGGGACAGACGGAGACAGACGGGGACAGACGGAGACAGACGGGGACAGACCGAGACAGACGGGGACAGACGGAGACAGACGGGGACAGACGGAGACAGACGGGGACAGACGGAGACAGACGGGGACAGACCGAGACAGACGGACACAGACCGAGACAGACGGGGACAGACGGAGACAGACGGGGACAGACCGAGACAGACGGGGACAGACGGAGACAGACGGGGACAGACCGAGACAGACGGACACAGACCGAGACAGATGGGGACAGACCGAGACAGACGGGGACAGACCGAGACAGACGGGGACAGACCGAGACAGACGGGGACAGACCGAGACAGACGGGGACAGACCGAGACAGACGGGGACAGACCGAGACAGACGGGGACAGACCGAGACAGACGGGGACAGACGGAGACAGACGGGGACAGACGGAGACAGACGGGGACAGACGGAGACAGACGGGGACAGACGAGACAGACGGGGACAGACCGAGACAGACGGGGACAGACCGAGACAGACGGGGACAGACCGAGACAGACGGGGACAGACCGAGACAGACGGGGACAGACCGAGACAGACGGGGACAGACCGAGACAGACGGGGACAGACCGAGACAGACGGGGACAGACCGAGACAGACGGGGACAGACCGAGACAGACGGGGACAGACCGAGACAGACGGGGACAGACCGAGACAGACGGGGACAGACCGAGACAGACGGGGACAGACCGAGACAGACGGGGACAGACGGAGACAGACGGGGACAGACGGAGACAGACGGGGACAGACGGAGACAGACGGGGACAGACCGAGACAGACGGGGACAGACCGAGACAGACGGGGACAGACCGAGACAGACGGGGACAGACCGAGACAGACGGGGACAGACCGAGACAGACGGGGACAGACAGAGACAGACGGGGACAGACCGAGACAGATGGACACAGACCGAGACAGACGGGGACAGACCGAGACAGACGGGGACAGACCGAGACAGACGGGGACAGACCGAGACAGACGGGGACAGACCGAGACAGACGGGGACAGACCGAGACAGACGGGGACAGACCGAGACAGACGGGGACAGACCGAGACAGACCGAGACAGATGGAGACAGATGGGAACAATATTAATATTATAGTATTGTCATTATTAAAGGGGGTCTGAACAGGCAGCTTTGTGTGAGTGAAATAAGTGGGAAACAATGCTTTCAAAGATTCTGCAATCACCAAATGGACAACACAGACTTATACATTTGTTTTATTATGTTTACTGGTCAGAAAGGGGACAAGGATCCAAACACGTCCTAAAACATGTCACACACAGCAGGGATGGACCCAGATACACAAGAGACAGAGGCAGAGAGAGACAGAGACAGAGGCAGAGAGAGACAGAGACAGAGGCAGAGGCAGAGAGAGACAGAGGCAGAGACAGAGGCAGAGAGAGACAGAGGCAGAGACAGAGGCAGAGGCAGAGGCAGAGAGAGACAGAGAGAGAGACAGAGGCAGAGACAGAGAGAGACAGAGAGAGAGACAGAGAGAGAGACAGAGAGAGAGACAGAGAGAGAGACAGAGAGAGACAGAGAGAGAGAGAGACAGAGAGAGAGACAGAGAGAGAGACAGAGGCAGAGACAGAGAGAGACAGAGACAGAGACAGAGGCAGAGAGAGACAGAGGCAGAGAGAGACAGAGACAGAGAGAGACAGAGGCAGAGACAGAGAGAGACAGAGAGAGAGAGGCAGAGACAGAGAGAGACAGAGAGAGAGACAGAGAGAGAGACAGAGAGAGAGACAGAGAGAGAGACAGAGAGAGAGACAGAGAGAGAGAGAGAGAGAGAGAGACAGAGAGAGAGACAGAGAGAGAGACAGAGGCAGAGACAGAGAGAGACAGAGACAGAGACAGAGACAGAGAGAGACAGAGAGAGACAGAGAGAGAGACAGAGAGAGACAGAGAGCGAGACAGAGACAGAGAGACAGAGAGAGAGACAGAGAGAGAGACAGAGGCAGAGAGAGACAGAGAGAGAGACAGAGGCAGAGAGAGAGAGAGACAGAGAGAGAGACAGAGAGAGAGAGAGAGACAGAGGCAGAGAGAGACAGAGGCAGAGAGAGACAGAGGCAGAGAGAGAGACAGAGAGAGAGAGAGAGACAGAGGCAGAGAGAGACAGAGAGAGAGACAGAGAGACAGAGAGAGAGACAGAGAGAGAGACAGAGAGAGAGAGAGACAGAGAGAGAGACAGAGGCAGAGACAGAGAGAGACAGAGAGAGAGACAGAGACAGAGAGAGACAGAGAGAGAGACAGAGGCAGAGACAGAGGCAGAGACAGAGAGAGAGACAGAGGCAGAGACAGAGAGAGAGAGAGAGACAGAGCAGAGAGAGAGAGAGACAGAGAGAGAGACAGAGGCAGAGACAGAGAGACAGAGAGACAGAGGCAGAGACAGAGACAGAGAGAGAGACAGAGACAGAGAGAGAGACAGAGACAGAGACAGAGACAGAGGCAGAGACAGAGGCAGAGAGAGAGACAGAGAGAGACAGAGGCAGAGACAGAGGCAGAGACAGAGACAGAGGCAGAGAGAGACAGAGACAGAGACAGAGACAGAGACAGAGACAGAGACAGAGGCAGAGAGAGACAGAGACAGAGGCAGAGACAGAGACACAGAGACAGAGACAGAGGCAGAGCAGAGACAGAGAGAGAGACAGAGACAGAGACAGAGAGAGACAGAGACAGAGACAGAGGCAGAGACAGAGACAGAGGCAGAGACAGAGACAGAGGCAGAGGCAGAGGCAGAGGCAGAGGCAGAGACAGAGACAGAGGCAGAGGCAGAGGCAGAGACAGAGGCAGAGACAGAGACAGAGGCAGAGACAGAGACAGAGGCAGAGAGAGACAGAGAGAGAGACAGAGAGAGAGACAGAGGCAGAGACAGAGACAGAGGCAGAGACAGAGACAGAGGCAGAGAGAGACAGAGAGAGAGACAGAGACAGAGAGAGACAGAGACAGAGGCAGAGAGAGACAGAGAGAGAGACAGAGAGAGAGACAGAGACAGAGAGAGAGACAGAGGCAGAGAGAGACAGAGAGAGAGACAGAGACAGAGAGAGACAGAGACTAGAACACCTCACACACAGCGGTGATGGACCCAGACCTGAGATATTCTAATACATCCATGACCCAGACACACTCCCACAGCCCGTATGTCTACACTAATAACACTAATAACACTAATATAACACTAATATAACATTAATGTACGTCTACTAAAACAGATGATGTGAAACATGGCGATGCCGATGTTAGCCTCCGTTGCCATGTTAGCTACAAACAATGGCCAGTTTACCTTTAGCAGATGCTAAGCTAACAGCTACATCCAGAGGAGCGGCGGTGCTCGCTGTAGCAGGCGGGGGATGAGCAGCATGTCACCGGTCTATGCCCTAAAAGCCCGCTCGGAACCAGTGGACCGCGCAGCAGTCAGTGTCCGCGGTCCTGTCCTCGGAGACATCTTTGTACCTGTCAAAGACGTCTGAATAACACCTCTGTGACAGCGGCGGATGGACGGGCGCCACAGCCAATGGGAGCCATGAGATGAAGAGGAAGGCGGGGCTTCCTAGCGCGTGATGGACGGGTGTTGCAGCCAATGGGAGCCATGAAATGCAGGGGTAGGCGGGGCTTCCCAGTGCATAGACTGTAATAGAACTGTAATAAATCCATGTTCAGAGCTTTTGTTTCAAGATGTGGCTTTAAGGTGAAGTCAGACAATACAAAATAAAATTAATTTGAAAAAAATAAAAGCTATACGTGCACAATGTATGTACAATTTGTTCCCTCAAGGAATAAATATAATAAACAATCATGTCTGAAACACATGGTAACGATAATCGGTGAAAATCATGACTTTTTACTGTATATAAAGTACTGTATATACATTATATACAGTATATTTATACATGGGGCTGGTGCCATGTGTACTGGGTACAGCGCTGACTGCCACCCCTCCGACCCAGAAGTGGATTAAGGGGAAGAAAATGGATGGATGGACTGTATATAATGTGTAATGATGGAGACCAACTCCACTGATGTCTATTGTCGTTGTGTCCTTTGGCAAAGCACTTCACCTATAAGGAGCGTGGAAGTAATGTACGCTGCATGCCTTGATGTGTTTATGTAAGTAATCTTTAGTAAGTAGGAAGTAATGTTTATTTATATACCGCCTTTCACAGACCAGAGTCTCAAAGCGGTTTACAGTTGTTACTTTTTTGTCTCTCTCTCCACACAGAGAGGGGAGGGGCCAGTACAGGAGGCACATGCCAGACCTATTGTACATGTTTTTAGTGGTAGGGGAAACCGGAGTACCCGGAGGAAACCTACGCAGACACGGGGAGAACATGCAAACTCCACTCAGAAAGGCCCTGGTCCGACCGGGATTCGAACCCAGGACCAGGAGTGCTAACCACTCAGCCACCTTGCCACACCCACAGTTAGATGTGTATTCATCAAACTGAAATTTCCCCATTTATAAAAAGACCTTATAATATTATAAAATAAACTGCTTTACTCAATCGGTCAATCTAACATGTAGCTATAAATAAATAAACATTCATACTGTCCATGCCACAGATACATAATCATAAAAAAGAAAACATCACCTTGTGTCAGTGAAGATCCATTTCCCTTTGAATACATTAACTTTAAATATATATATATATATATATATATATATATATATATATATATATATATATATATATATATATATACAGTATATATGTAAAGTAAAGGCCTGATTGTTCTGCAGCCTCTCAGTGTCTAGATTAGAGTCTGTTTTCCAAGTATCAGTGAATAATCTCAGACGACACACAGATGAGAGAATAAAATATGGTTCTTTTTAGTTATTAAAAATTAATTTATTTTCCATCACAGGCAAGAGTTAAGAAATGAACGACTGATCATAAAAACATTCTCCAAACGCCTAAGACAAAAACACATTCTTAACATTATGGCACGAACACAAACACTTGGAATCTCAACTTGGCGCAAAATGATAAATAATGTCACAAAGAACTGACAGAGCAGCTCCAGGCAGAGTAAGCATCAGCGCTTTAAAGTGCTACTGTATACATGTCAATCAAAACAGCATTTATGGACTTTTTAAGACTCCATTTTTGTTGCTAAATGATTTTGAAGCAGGCTGAGTGGGAGATAAGGCCGCGGGTCACATCCCTCCCAGAGCGTTCAGAGGATCGTCAAAGATGTCTGTGGCGTCGGTGCTGGGATCAGGACGAGCTGAGGTTTTCTTCTGCTGCAACGGAGGCTTCGCCGTCACTGTGCTCGAGGAGAAGATGTCGTCTGGAACAAACAGAACACGCTTAAAAGGAGCAATAGTGGTGCTGCCAGATATGCAGACGAATCCAGCTGGGACCATAACAGCTGAATAGACAAGAGTTCTGTCAACAACAAATCTATAACCAACACCTTTTTCACAAAGATAGAAATCCTGGTTTTATTCCTTGTTTTGTCGTTAATGATTTGAGAATCATAACGAGACCTTTTTTTAGTTCTGCGCCACATGGTACTTTACCAGTGAGATTAGCTCCACGCGGTGAGTTCTGGCGCCCGGATCACGGACTTTCTGATTGGTGAAACGGTGGAGGGCGGGACATCAAAATGAAAACAATAATAAGATTTAGGGACTGGAAAAGTAATTTAGAAATTCAAATATCTCTGAACTACTGTTATCAGTTAAAGAAGGATTGGAAAAGAGCAGTTTATTATTATGACAGATTAGGGCCCTTTAATGATGACAGATTAGGGCCCTTTAATGATGACAGATTAGGGCCCTTTAACGATGACATATTAGGGCCCTTTAATTACAGATTAGGGCCCTTTAATTATGACAGATTAGGGCCCTTTAATGACAGATTAGGGCCCTTTAATGATGACAGATTAGGGCCCTTTAATTATGACAGATTAGGGCCCTTTAATGAGGACAGATTAGGGCCCTTTAATGACAGATTAGGGCCCTTTAATGAGGACAGATTAGGGCCCTTTAATGATGACAGATTAGGGCCCTTTAATGAGGACAGATTAGGGCCTTTTAATTATGACAGATTAGGGCCCTTTAAAGACCTTATGACGGGTTTGATTTATTTAGAAATACAGTTTTAATACCATTTTATATTAGAAGAGAACTACTAAAGGTTTCAAAATCAGTTGTTGTTTTTTTTGTCTGATCCCCCCAAATCGAAATAACCCCATAGCAACGCCCTTAGAAACGAAAAAAACTTCACAGCCCCTGGTGACGTCAGAGTGGGTACGTTTCAACGCTGTAAGTTGTTTACAATTTGGTATTCGTTATCGTGTACAGCGAGTGTAACATAACTACTAGAATGTATCATTTCATTGTCACTGAGATAGTCCAGTGGTTGTGTCGATGGACTGCCAATCCAGATACTGGGGTTCAAATCCCACCTCGGACACTTTTTCACTCTCCAAAACGGCAATTTATGTGTAGTGAGCAATTGTCACCTGTAGAGGGCAGTATTGTGTTGGGCATCAGTGGAGAGAAGAGAGAAAAGGCAGTCCTGTGGCATAGATCTATGGTTTTCAATGCATGGGCGTAACCCGCTGTGACGTCACACACAGGTTAGAGCATAGACAACTTAAATTCATGAAAAACACGTTCTTTTTATAAAATATAGGATTTTTTTTGCCGGAATCTCTTTCAAATTGACATTGTCATGCAATTTTGATATCCACTATTTTTTTTTTTTAAACCCGTCATAAGGTCTTTAATGATGACAGATTATGATGACTTTAAAGTGCCAAACTGCCGTTGTGTCCTTAGGCATGACACTTCAGCAACATTGCCTAGAATGAGTCTGGTGCATGTGTGAATGGTTGGTGGTGGTGGGAGGGATGGCACAGACTGGTTGTCCCACAGTGTGCCCCAGGGCAGCTGTGGCTACAGTAGTAGTAGTAAGTAGTCTTTATTTATATACCGCCTTTTCACTGCAGATCTGAGTCTCAAAGCGGTTTACAATTGTTTATTTTTGGGCATTTGTCTCTCACTCCACACAGAGATGGGAGCGGGGCCAGTACAGGGGGCACATGCCAGAACTATTGGACATATATTTAGTGGTAGGGGAAACCGGAGTACCCGGAGGAAACCTACGCAGACACGGGGAGAACATGCAAACTCCACTCAGAAAGGCCCTGGTCCAGGGTTCGAACCCAGGACCTTCTTGCTGAGAAGCGAGACTGCTAACCACTCAGCCACCGTGACGATATACAGTAGTGTCTGGACACTGTGTATGTAGTCTGAGTGTCCAAAAGAGCGCTGGATAAAACTGATGCATTATTATTATTATGAGTGGGAGCAGTTGGAGTAGGCCTTGTGAGGGGGATCGAACCCACAACCTTCAGGCCCAAAGACCAATGCTCTACCAACTGAACCACTGTTGCTCATTATCTTATTTAGATAATCTAACCTTTAATGTTTGCTTCTTGAAAAATACACAATACAATACAATTTATTCTTGTATAGCCCTAGGTCACAACAGAAGTCATCTCAGAGGACTTAACAAAACCATTGAAATCAATGGTTTTGATTCTTCTTCTTGAAGAAAGTAATGTATTTTTTTCTGTGTGACGACAGATGGAAATCAGCCCAAACCACAGCCACAGGTTTCATTAAACACTGTAGGACACTAATAACATTAGGACACTAATAACACTAGGACACTAATAACATTAGGACACTAATAACACTAGGACACTAATAACATTAGGACACTAATAACACTAGGACACTAATAACATTAGGACACTAATAACACTAGGACACTAATAACACTAGGACACTAATAACATTAGGACACTAATAACATTAGGACACTAATAACATTAGGACACTAATAACACTAGGACACTAATAACATTAGGACACTAATAACATTAGGACACTAATAACATTAGGACACTAATAACATTAGGACACTAATAACATTAGGACACTAATAACACTAGGACACTAATAACACTAGGACACTAATAACACTAGGACACTAATAACACTAGGACACTAATAACACTAGGACACTAATAACATTAGGACACTAATAACATTAGGACACTAATAACACTAGGACACTAATAACACTAGGACACTAATAACACTAGGACACTAATAACATTAGGACACTAATAACACTAGGACACTAATAACACTAGGACACTAATAACATTAGGACACTAATAACACTAGGACACTAATAACCAGAGGTGTGGACTCGAGTCATGTGACTTGGACTCGAGTCAGACTCGAGTCATGATTTTGATGACTTTAGACTCGACTTGACCAAATATAAAAAGACTTGCAACTCGACTTGGACTTTAACATCAATGACTCTGACTTTCACTTGGACTTGCGCCAATTGACTTGTAAAGACTTGCGTAACCCGGGCCCTTTTTACCCTTCTCCGCATCTCTCTTTCTATCTATGCCGTCTCTGAAGAAACAAAGCCTCGCGGTAGTTGTAGCGCTCGCGCGAGAGTTCGAACGTGAGTTCCCCGCAGTTCGCGCAGCAACACTTCCCTAAACAAGCGGACTGCATTCACCGGTGGGTGTGTTTTGTCGTAGGGGAGCTGGAAATGAGCGAGCTGCAGGTATTTATCGCGACCTAACGTCATATTTTGTTCTACAAACCGTAATTGATATGCTTTCACTACAGGCGCCTCATACAATTGAATCGACGCAGTTGTCACACTGTGTGCCGTGTTTTAAAGAGGAACTGGTGAGTCAAACTAGCGCTAGCCTGCGCTGCTCTGTTGGCTCTTTCTTATATTTTTCTGTGTGGGCGCCGAGGCCTATTATTATGAGTATATTTTTGCTGTGCTCCTCCTGCTAAAGTTTGCATACATTAGATAGTTGTTTTGATTATGTGCACTAAGCTAGATTAATATTTGCACTATTGTTTATGGTTCATTGATATGAGAATCAGTACTTTGACTGATTGAATTAATTTATATGAGACATTTTATTATGTAATGATATATTGGTAATTATGAGATATTACTAATGCTGGCCCAGTTCATACAGGCCAGGTTCCTTCCCCTCCATTGGTCCCTTCAGTCCTTTGGAACAATAACCACTATGGACATTAAACTGATTACATAGATACAGGTCCTAGCCCAATACTCATATTCATATATGCTGCACTTGCTACTTCCCATTAAAAACCCCAAAGATAAAAAGTATGTTGACACGGACTGCTCTGATTTTATGTGTGGGTCTGTGCATGTGTAACTGAGCCTGCATCTGGCACAACATAGTTTTGATTTACCAGCAGCCAACGACATGGAACAAACTGTTAGTCCATGGGTCAGAGACCAACGAGAATGCACCAGCAAAATGATTCCTAACATTATTTTGTCTGCCTACAAAAGTACGTGGAGACCAACAAGAAACAAATCGCGGTCAAAAAGACTCGAGAGGACTCGAAAGTCAAACCGTAGGACTTGGGACTGACTTGAGATTTGTTGGCCTTTGACTTGGACTCGACTCGGGACTTGCCTGTCTTGACTCGTGACTTGAGTCGGGACTTGAGGGCAATGAATTGAGACTGACTTGTGACTTGCTAAACAATGACTTTGTCCCACCTCTGCTAATAACATTAGGACACTTATAACACTAGGACACTAATAACATTAGAACACTAATAACATTAGAACACTAATAACATTAGGACACTAATAACACTAGGACACTAATAACATTAGGACACTAATAACATTAGGACACTAATAACATTAGGACACTAATAACACTAGGACACTAATAACATTAGGACACTAATAACATTAGGACACTAATAACATTAGGACACTAATAACATTAGGACACTAATAACACTAGGACACTAATAACACTAGGACACTAATAACACTAGGACACTAATAACACTAGGACACTAATAACATTAGGACACTAATAACATTAGGACACTAATAACACTAGGACACTAATAACACTAGGACACTGATAACACTAGGACACTAATAACATTAGGACACTAATAACACTAGGACACTAATAACACTAGGACACTAATAACACTAGGACACTAATAACACTAGGACACTAATAACATTAGGACACTAATAACATTAGGACACTAATAACACTAGGACATTAATAACATTAGGACACTAATAACACTAGGACACTAATAACACTAGGACACTAATAACACTAGGACACTAATAACACTAGGACACTAATAACACTAGGACACTAATAACATTAGGACACTAATAACACTAGGACACTAATAACACTAGGACACTAATAACATTAGGACACTAATAACACTAGGACACTAATAACATTAGCACACTAATAACACTAGGACACTAATAACACTAGGACACTAATAACACTAGGACACTAATAACACTAGGACACTAATAACACTAGGACACTAATAACATTAGGACACTAATAACACTAGGACACTAATAACATTAGGACACTAATAACACTAGGACACTAATAACATTAGAACACTAATAACATTAGGACACTAATAACACTAGGACACTAATAACACTAGGACACTAATAACACTAGGACACTAATAACATTAGGACACTAATAACACTAGGACACTAATAACACTAGGACACTAATAACATTAGGACACTAATAACACTAGGACACTAATAACATTAGGACACTAATAACACTAGGACACTAATAACACTAGGACACTAATAACATTAGGACACTAATAACATTAGAACACTAATAACATTAGGACACTAATAACACTAGGACACTAATAACACTAGGACACTAATAACATTAGGACACTAATAACACTAGGACACTAATAACATTAGGACTCTAATAACACTAGGACACTAATAACATTAGGACACTAATAACATTAGGACACTAATAACACTAGGACACTAATAACACTAGGACACTAATAACACATGTTTGTTTTTTTGACACTAATAACACTAGGACACTAATAACATTAGGACACTAATAACACTAGGACACTAATAACATTAGGACACTAATAACATTAGAACACTAATAACATTAGGACACTAATAACACTAGGACACTAATAACATTAGGACACTAATAACACTAGGACACTAATAACACTAGGACACTAATAACACTAGGACACTAATAACACTAGGACACTAATAATATTAGGACACTAATAACATTAGGAGACTAATAACCCTAGGACACTAATAACATTAGGACACTAATAACACTAGGACACTAATAACACTAGGACACTAATAACATTAGGACACTAATAATATTAGGACACTAATAACACTAGGACACTAATAACATTAGGACACTAATAACATTAGGACACTAATAACACTAGGACACTAATAACACTAGGACACTAATAACACTAGGACACTAATAACACATGTTTGTTTTTTTTGACACTAATAACACTAGGACACTAATAACATTAGGACACTAATAACATTAGGACACTAATAACATTAGGACACTAATAACACTAGGACACTAATAACATTAAAACACTAATAACATTAGGACAGTAATAACACTAGGACACTAATAACATTAGAACACTAATAACACTAGGACACTAGGACACTAATAACACTAGGACACTAATAACATTAGGACTCTAATAACACTAGGACACTAATAACATTAGGACACTAATAACATTAGGACACTAATAACATTAGGACACTAATAACACTAGGACACTAATAACACTAGGACACTAATAACACTAGGACACTAATAACACTAGGACACTAATAACACATGTTTGTTTTTAATCAAGGCCTTTACCAAACGCTTGTTCTACTGCTGCTACTGCTGCTGCTACTACTGCTACTGCTGCTGCTGTTACTACTACTGCTACTGCTACTACTGCTACTACTACTGCTACTGCTGCTACTGCTGCTACTGCTGCTGCTGCTGCTGCTGCTGCTGCTGCTGCTACTGCTGCTACTGCTGCTGCTGCTGCTGCTGCTGCTGCTGCTGCTGCTACTGCTGCTGCTACTGCTGCTGCTGCTGCTGCTACTGCTGCTGCTGCTGCTGCTGCTGCTGCTGCTGCTGCTGCTGCTACTGCTGCTGCTGCTGCTGCTGCTGCTGCTGCTGCTGCTGCTACTGCTGCTGCTGCACTTTATAACTATTGTCATGCGTGTTCGTGTTTAGATGTGTTTCTGCTGCAAACGTACCCATGTCGTCGTCAAAGATGGACTTGGCCTCTGCTTTAGTCTTGACCTTGTGTTTGGGTTTGAACGTGTCCGACAGATCTGCAAAAATGTCCACGTTGTCGTGGAATAAACTGCTTTCGATCTTCTTCTCTTTGTGCTTCCTCTGAGCTTTAGGCCCTGGGTCCACTGCGTCCTACAGGGAACACACACTTTACAACCACACCACAAGTAACACTAAACACAGTGTGTTTTATGAAGCTGTTATGCTCTTGATCATTGGCTCTCAGTTCGTAACGACTGACCTGAAAAATATCTGTGTTTGAGAAACTGCTCTTTGCTGCAGGAGCGGAGCTGGAGCCGAACAGATCATCGTCTTCCTCCAGAAACCCCGCCGGCTTGCTCTTCTTAGCTGCAGGTTTCGTCTTGACTTTTTGAAATAAGTCGCCCATATTGTCGTCAAAGATAGATGGGAGAACGCTTTTCTCTGCCTTCACCACGGCCTCGTTAGCTGCAGGAGAGGGTCGGCTCTTCTCGTTAGCTGCAGGAGAGGGTTGGCTCTTCTCGTTGGCTGCAGGAGAGGGTCGGCTCTTCTCGTTAGCTGCAGGAGAGGGTTGGCTCTTCTCGTTGGCTGCAGGAGAGGGTCGGCTCTTCTCGTTAGCTGCAGGAGAGGGTTGGCTCTTCTCGTTGGCTGCAGGAGAGGGTCGGCTCTTCTCGTTAGCTGCAGGAGAGGGTCGGCTCTTCTCGTTAGCTGCAGGAGAGGGTTGGCTCTTGGTGGAGGCTACACTCGCTCCAAACAAATGATCTGAGCTGAAAATGTCATCTTCGTCAGGAAAGGACAGCTCTTGGCTCAGTGGGGGTTCCTTGCTGGAGTCTGTGGGGTCTGTAGGGACTGGTAGTGTGAGAGCGGAGGGGCTGGATGTAGCGGCAGACACTGGGGTGGAGAGGGACTGTGCTGAAGGTTCAAAGCCCAGATTGGGAGCAGACTTCTGGGCAGAGTGCTGTCGGGCCGCTCTGGACTGAGGCCTCCGCTGGGACGATCCTTTCACTCGGCTCTGGAAAACCACATGAGAACAAATCAGACGTGGTTTTTACTTTCCTCTTGTACAATACTATATTATTATATTCATAGTCTCCAACCGTTTCTCCCCATGGAGCTACTTTTTAACTATAATAATGCATCAGCTCTGTACAGCTCTTATCTGGACTCTCAAAGTCTCTTCAAATGTCATTATTCTTTCACTCCAAACACAGTGGTGATAAACTACTACTGTAGCCACAGCTGCCCTGGGGCACACTGACAGAAGGGAGGCAACCTGTCTGTGCCATCGGCCCCTCCCACCACCACCAACCACTCACACACACACCAGACTCATTCTAATGTGGGGGAAGTGCCTTGCCTAAGGACACAGCCACAGTTTGGCGGATCACTAGTGAGCTAGCGGGTTAGCATTGAGCTAGCAGGTTAGCATGGTCCCTCTGTACATGGTGTGATCCAAGCCCACCTTGTGTGCACTCTCCAGCGTGGTGATGTGAGCGGGGGTATCGAAGCCCACCCCCAGGTCGGGGTCCCTGGGCAGCTCCAGGGGGCTGGTGAGAGGGCTGGGGCTCAGGCTGGAGCTGGACACACCTGAGGAGGAGCTGGCCTCCATCCCAGAGCTGGAGCGGGACATGGAGGCCCCCGGGAGCAGGGCCGCAGGGTTGATCAGCAGAGAGGCCTAGAGGACACACAACAACACACTTCATCCTCCGCTGCAGGGAAACAACTCTGATGTTGTGAAGAGGCAAATGAGTGGGGCTGTGGCCTTCTGTCCAGTTTAAAGCTGGGGGACCTAACTTTAATATTCATGAATAACACATGTTGTTTGTCGGCAATGTTGTGAACAAATCAAACAACCATTGAACTTTTGGATTCTGTTCAAATACATCATATTATCATTTTTACATTCATCAATACGAGATCTGAACCTGACTAGATCCCAAAATGCCAGGAAATGTTTGACTAGCACAGACGCCACAAAGACAGACACCAGCACAGACGCCACAAAGACAGACACCAGCACAGACGCCACAAAGACAGACACCAGCACAGACGCCACAAAGACAGACACCAGCACAGACGCCACAAAGACAGACACAGCACAGACGCCACAAAGACAGACACCAGCACAGACGCCACAAAGACAGACACAGCACAGACGCCACAAAGACAGACACCAGCACAGACGCCACAAAGACAGACACCAGCACAGACGCCACAAAGACAGACACCAGCACAGATGCCACAAAGACAGACACCAGCACAGACGCCACAAAGACAGACACCAGCACAGACGCCACAAAGACAGACACCAGCACAGACGCCACAAAGACAGACACCAGCACAGACGCCACAAAGACAGACACAGCACAGACGCCACAAAGACAGACACCAGGTAAGATGCCACAAAGACAGACACCAGCACAGATGCCACAAAGACAGACACCAGCACAGACGCCACAAAGACAGACACCAGCACAGATGCCACAAAGACAGACACCAGCACAGACGCCACAAAGACAGACACCAGCACAGACGCCACAAAGACAGACACCAGCACAGACGCCACAAAGACAGACACCAGCACAGACGCCACAAAGACAGACACCAGCACAGACGCCACAAAGACAGACACCAGCACAGACGCCACAAAGACAGACACCAGCACAGATGCCACAAAGACAGACACCAGCACAGACGCCACAAAGACAGACACCAGCACAGACGCCACAAAGACAGACACCAGCACAGACGCCACAAAGACAGACACCAGCACAGACGCCACAAAGACAGACACCAGGTAAGATGCCACAAAGACAGACACCAGCACAGACGCCACAAAGACAGACACCAGCACAGACGCCACAAAGACAGACACCAGCACAGACGCCACAAAGACAGACACCAGCACAGACGCCACAAAGACAGACACCAGCACAGACGCCACAAAGACAGACACCAGCACAGACGCCACAAAGACAGACACCAGCACAGATGCCACAAAGACAGACACCAGCACAGATGCCACAAAGACAGACACCAGGTAAGATGCCACAAAGACAGACACCAGCACAGACGCCACAAAGACAGACACCAGGTAAGATGCCACAAAGACAGACACCAGCACAGACGCCACAAAGACAGACACCAGGTAAGATGCCACAAAGACAGACACCAGCACAGACGCCACAAAGACAGACACCAGCACAGACGCCACAAAGACAGACACCAGCACAGACGCCACAAAGACAGACACCAGGTAAGATGCCACAAAGACAGACACCAGCACAGACGCCACAAAGACAGACACCAGGTAAGATGCCACAAAGACAGACACCAGCACAGACGCCACAAAGACAGACACCAGCACAGACGCCACAAAGACAGACACCAGCACAGATGCCACAAAGACAGACACCAGGTAAGATGCCACAAAGACAGACACCAGCACAGACGCCACAAAGACAGACACCAGGTAAGATGCCACAAAGACAGACACCAGCACAGACGCCACAAAGACAGGACACCAGGTAAGATGCCACAAAGACAGACACCAGCACAGACGCCACAAAGACAGACACCAGCACAGACGCCACAAAGACAGACACCAGCACAGACGCCACAAAGACAGACACCAGGTAAGATGCCACAAAGACAGACACCAGCACAGACGCCACAAAGACAGACACCAGGTAAGATGCCACAAAGACAGACACCAGCACAGACGCCACAAAGACAGACACCAGCACAGACGCCACAAAGACAGACACCAGCACAGACGCCACAAAGACAGACACCAGCACAGATGCCACAAAGACAGACACCAGGTAAGATGCCACAAAGACAGACACCAGCACAGACGCCACAAAGACAGACACCAGGTAAGATGCCACAAAGACAGACACCAGCACAGACGCCACAAAGACAGACACCAGGTAAGATGCCACAAAGACAGACACCAGCACAGACGCCACAAAGACAGACACCAGCACAGACGCCACAAAGACAGACACCAGCACAGACGCCACAAAGACAGACACCAGCACAGACGCCACAAAGACAGACACCAGGTAAGATGCCACAAAGACAGACACCAGGTAAGATGCCACAAAGACAGACACCAGCACAGACGCCACAAAGACAGACACCAGGTAAGATGCCACAAAGACAGGACACCAGCACAGACGCCACAAAGACAGACACCAGCACAGACGCCACAAAGACAGACACGAGCACAGACGCCACAAAGACAGACACCAGCACAGACGCCACAAAGACAGACACCAGCACAGACGCCACAAAGACAGACACCAGCACAGACGCCACAAAGACAGACACCAGGTAAGATGCCACAAAGACAGACACCAGCACAGACGCCACAAAGACAGACACCAGCACAGATGCCACAAAGACAGACACCAGCACAGACGCCACAAAGACAGACACCAGCACAGATGCCACAAAGACAGACACCAGCACAGACGCCACAAAGACAGACACCAGCACAGACGCCACAAAGACAGACACCAGCACAGATGCCACAAAGACAGACACCAGCACAGACGCCACAATGACAGACACCAGCACAGACGCCACAAAGACAGACACCAGCACAGACGCCACAAAGACAGACACCAGCACAGATGCCACAAAGACAGACACCAGGTAAGATGCCACAAAGACAGACACCAGCACAGACGCCACAAAGACAGACACCAGGTAAGATGCCACAAAGACAGACACCAGCACAGATGCCACAAAGACAGACACCAGGTAAGATGCCACAAAGACAGACACCAGCACAGACGCCACAAAGACAGACACCAGCACAGACGCCACAAAGACAGACACCAGGTAAGATGCCACAAAGACAGACACCAGCACAGACGCCACAAAGACAGACACCAGTAAGATGCCACAAAGACAGACACCAGGTAAGATGCCACAAAGACAGACACCAGCACAGACGCCACAAGACAGACACCAGAAGACGCCACAAAGACAGACACCAGCACAGACGCCACAAAGCACAAGACAGACACCAGCACAGACGCCACAAAGACAGACACCAGCACAGACGCCACAAAGACAGACACCAGCACAGACGCCACAAAGACAGAGCACACAGCACAAGACGCCACAAAGACAGACACCAGCACAGACGCCACAAAGACAGACACCAGCACAGACGCCACAAAGACAGACACCAGCACAGACGCCACAAAGACAGACACCAGCACAGAGCCACAAAGACAGACACCAGCACAGAGCCACAAAGACAGACACCAGCACAGACGCCACAAAGACAGACACCAGCACAGACGCCACAAAGACAGACACCAGCACAGACGCCACAAAGACAGACACCAGCACAGACGCCACAAAGACAGACACCAGCACAGACGCCACAAAGACAGACACCAGCACAGACGCCACAAAGACAGACACCAGCACAGACGCCACAAGACAGACAGACACCACACAGACCACGCCACAAAGACAGACACCAGCACAGACGCCACAAAAGACAGACACCAGCACAGACGCCCACAAAGACAGACACCAGCACGAGCACCAGCACAGACGCCACAAAGACAGACACCACCAGCACAAAGACACAAGCAGCACAGCACGCCACAAAGACAGACACCAGCACAGACGCCACAAAGACAGACACCAGACACAGACGCCACAAAGACAGACACCAGCACAGACGCCACAAAGACAGACACCAGCACAGACCACAAAGACAGACACCAGCACAGACGCCACAAAGACAGACACCAGCACAGACGCCACAAAGACAGACACCAGCACAGACGCCACAGACAGCCAAGACAGACACCAGCACAGACGCCACAAAGAAGACACCAGCACAGACGCCACAAAGACAGACACCAGCACAGACGCCACAAAGACAGACACCAGCACAGACGCCACAAAGACAGACACCAGCACAGACCACAGACACAGCAGCACCAGCACAGACGCCACAAAGACAGACACCAGCACAGACGCACCACAAAGACAGACACCAGCACAGACAGCCACAAAGACAGACACCAGCACAGACGCCACAAAGACAGACACCAGCACAGACGCCACAAAGACAGACAGACCAGCACAGACGCCACAAAGACAGACACCAGCACAGATGCCACAAAGACAGACACCAGCACAGACGCCACAAAGACAGACACCAGCACAGACGCCACAAAGACAGACACCAGCACAGACGCCACAAAGACAGACACCAGCACAGACGCCACAAAGACAGGCACCAGCACAGACGCCACAAAGACAGACACCAGCACAGACGCCACAAAGACAGACACCAGCACAGACGCCACAAAGACAGACACCAGCACAGATGTATCACTTTCAGCTGATGGTGTCCCATTTAACTGTTTTCAGAGAGAAAGGTAAACACTGGTTCATAGTCTTGCATTTTTGGCGTCTGGTCTGGAATACTGTGGCATAAACGCTGGAGCAGATTTTTCATCTGGTGAGGTTTACAGACTGTATCAAGCCTCAGGGTGCTCCACAACGACAGAAACAGAAACATCACAGCTGCTCATGAACAGAAACTATCGTAATAAAACAGTTGAAACATAAACCAGTGATGGTGCAGCAGAAGACCATGTGGAGAAACAGTGAGACCAGAACAGGATGCATGAAACATGAAAAGTCAAAAGTCAAAATCTCATCGTGTCATGAGTAGAAATGAGAGAATTTCAAAGTGGAAGGAAATGAAGTCCGAAGATGAGATGTGAAAGATGGAGACTAGAAATAAATACGACAAAATATTACTTGAAGTTTCCCAATCCGTGAAGAGGGATCTTTGGGTTTAGCAGGAGCTGGGGCTGGCTTCTGCGGTCACATCAGAGCAATGCTATTATGATACAGAAGCAGTCTGTGAACACGGAGGCACAGACACCGACTCTCACCGAGCTTTCAGACGAGGGCTCAGGGCTGGTCTCCGCCTTCTCCAGCGCCGCCTTCTCCAGCGCCGCCTTCTCCAGCTCCGCCTTCTCCAGCGCCGCCTTCTCCAGCGCCGCCTTCTCCAGCGCCGCCTTCTCCAGCTCCGCCTTCTCCAGCGCCGCCTTCTCCAGCGCCGCCTTCTCCAGCGCCGCCTTCTCCAGCGCCGCCTTCTCCAGCGCCGCCTTCTCCAGCGCCGCCTTCTCCAGCTCCGCCTTCTCCAGCTCCGCCTTCTCCAGCGCCGCCTTCTCCAGCGCCGCCTTCTCCAGCGCCGCCTTCTCCAGCGCCGCCTTCTCCAGCGCCGCCTTCTCCAGCGCCGCCTTCTCCAGCGCCGCCTTCTCCAGCGCCGCCTTCTCCAGCGCCGCCTTCTCCAGCGCCGCCTTCTCCAGCGCCGCCTTCTCCAGCGCCGCCTTCTCCAGCGCCGCCTTCTCCAGCGCCGCCTTCTCCAGCGCCGCCTTCTCCAGCGCTGCCTTCTCCACTGGCTTCTTCTCCAGCGCCGCCTTCTCCACTGGCTTCTTCTCCAGCGCCGCCTTCTCCAGCGCCGCCTTCTCCAGCGCCGCCTTCTCCACTGGCTTCTTCTCCAGCGCCGCCTTCTCCAGCGCCGCCTTCTCCAGCGCCGCCTTCTCCAGCGCCGCCTTCTCCAGCGCCGCCTTCTCCAGCGCCGCCTTCTCCAGCGCCGCCTTCTCCAGCGGCTTCTCCAGCGCCGCCTTCTCCACCGGCTTCTTCTTCTCTGCTACCTTCTGTGCAGAGAAACACACATCTGAGGCTGTGTTGTTGGAGCTCATTCACAAAAGGTTCCATCATTGGCTCTTCTTCATGTGTCCCAGTCCTCGGCTCATGTGCGATAATGTGGCTGATGCACAATTATAACAATAATAATAATACTTTGTATTTATATTGTACCTTACATTTCCAGGATACTCCAAAGTGCTACAGATTAAAATACAGTATAACAAACTAACGACCACATCATACAACACTCAAAACTTGTGAAACTGAATCTATTTCTTCCATAGAGCTGAAGTCACCTCAATAGAAAGGAGCTGTCCCCTGTGAGCCCGCCTCCACAGGTGTCATGGCCAACAAAGGCTAAATAACAAAGAATTGAGATGAACTTTTGTTATTGACCAATCACTATTTTTGCTTCACTAAGATTTACAATAAATGTGATTTTCTGTTTTTTTTGTTCTCATTCTGTCTCTCATAGTTAGAGTTTATCAATGGTGGAAATTACAGACCTCCTCGTCTTTATAAGTGGGAGAACTGGTGCTGACTGAATGTTTTTTTGAGATGAGAAGGTGAGAGGCCACTTTATTACAATGAATGAAAAACTTACACATGATCAAATGTGTTTAAATGTTTTACCAATGGAGAGGTTTTGGGTTTGACGCTGCTGAACAAGTCGTCTTCATCGTCGTCAGAAAACAGACTGGGAGCAGAGGACTTCCCTGCGCCGCCTCTGGAGCTCTGGGAACAACACATTTGAACAGTTTAAAGGTTATATTAAGATAAACCGCTTCAGTCCTGGGTCTACGGCCTCAGTCCTGGGTCTACAGCCTCAGTCCTGGGTCTACGGCCTCAGTCCTGGGTCTACAGCCTCAGTCCTGGGTCTACGGCCTCAGTCCTGGGTCTACGGCCGCAGTCCTGGGTCTACAGCCTCAGTGGGTGTTACCGTGGGGGCTGTTTTCCCAGAGGTGGAGAAGAGGTCCACGTCTGGATCGTTGTCTTTCTGCTGAGCGTGGCTGAACAGCAGCTCCTCGTCCTGGAACACGCCTGTGCTTTTGGTCGAGGCTTTCTCCTCTGAGGACTGCAACACAAAGTCATACAACAACACAAGATAATAGGACTGCAACACAACATCAAGTGTATATGTATAAATGTGTGTGTGTGTGTCTGGACTCAGATTGAATGGATTACAAACAAAGTGTGTGTGTATAAACTTCTGTATTCTGGACTCAGACCTTTGTGGTGTTTGTTGGTTTGGGGAGAGCAAATATGGAATCGTTTCCATCTGGTTCATCTTTCTCATCGTCATCAAACAAACTCAGTGTTTTGGTTTTCGACTTCTCTTTCTTATCTTCCTTCAGGTCCTCCCTCTCCGCTGGCCTCCTGCTCTGTGTGACCGGCAACACGTCGATCCCGCCAAACAGACTGACAGCTCCAGGGGGCCTCTTCCTGGTCTGGGCCTCTGCAGGTGGGGGTGAGGCTGGGGGGAGGGGCTTCTCTGCTGAGTCTGTGGTGGTAGAGGGGGAGTCAGAGATGTCCTTGGGGGCAGGAGCTGGGGAGGCCTGGGAAATGAGAGGAGAAAGTTAGTTTGTTTCTCTGCTGCAGGAGGGTCCAGGACAGAGAGGGTCCAGGACGGAGAGGGTCCAGGACGGAGAGGATCCAGGACAGAGAGGATCCAGGACAGAGAGGATCCAGGGCAGAGAGGGTTCAGGACAGAGAGGATCCAGGACAGAGAGGGTCCAGGACAGAGAGGGTCCAGGACAGAGAGGGTCCAGGACAGAGAGGGTCCAGGACAGAGAGGGTCCAAGACAGAGAGGATCCAGGACAGAGAGGGTCCAGGACAGAGAGGGTCCAGGACAGAGAGGGTCCAGGACAGAGAGGGACCAGGACAGAGAGGATCCAGGACAGAGAGGGTCCAGGACAGAGAGGATCCAGGACAGAGAGGGTCCAGGACGATCCAGGACAGAGAGGGTCCAGGACAGAGAGGGTCCAGGACAGAGAGGGTCCAGGACCGAGAGGATCCAGGACAGAGAGGATCCAGGGCAGAGAGGATCCAGGGCAAAGAGGGTCCAGGACAGAGAGGGTCCAGGACGGAGAGGGTTCAGGACAGAGAGGATCCAGGACAGAGAGGATCCAGGACAGAGAGGGTCCAGGACAGAGAGGGTCCAGGACAGAGAGGGTCCAGGACAGAGAGGGTCCAGGACAGAGAGGGTCCAGGACAGAGAGGATCCAGGACAGAGAGGGTCCAGGACAGAGAGGGTCCAGGACAGAGAGGATCCAGGACAGAGAGGGTCCAGGACAGAGAGGGTCCAGGACAGAGAGGGTCCAGGACAGAGAGGATCCAGGACAGAGAGGGTCCAGGACGATCCAGGACAGAGAGGGTCCAGGACGATCCAGGACAGAGAGGGTCCAGGGCAAAGAGGGTCCAGGACGGAGAGGGTTCAGGACAGAGAGGATCCAGGACAGAGAGGATCCAGGACAGAGAGGGTCCAGGACAGAGAGGGTCCAGGACAGAGAGGGTCCAGGACAGAGGGGTCCAGGACAGAGAGGGTCCAGGACAGAGAGGATCCAGGACAGAGAGGATCCAGGGCAGAGAGGGTCCAGGACAGAGAGGGTCCAGGACAGAGAGGATCCAGGACAGAGAGGGTCCAGGACAGAGAGGGTCCAGGACGATCCAGGACAGAGAGGGTCCAGGACGATCCAGGACAGAGAGGGTCCAGGACAGAGAGGGTCCAGGACAGAGAGGATCCAGGACAGAGAGGATCCAGGACAGAGAGGATCCAGGACAGAGAGGGTCCAGGACAGAGAGGGTCCAGGACAGAGAGGGTCCAGGACAGAGAGGGTCCAGGACAGAGAGGATCCAGGACAGAGAGGATCCAGGGCAGAGAGGATCCAGGGCAGAGAGGGTCCAGGACAGAGAGGGTCCAGGACAGAGAGGGTCCAGGACAGAGAGGATCCAGGACAGAGAGGATCCAGGGCAGAGAGGATCCAGGGCAGAGAGGGTCCAGGACAGAGAGGGTCCAGGACAGAGAGGGTCCAGGACAGAGAGGGTCCAGGACAGAGAGGGTCCAGGACAGAGAGGGTCCAGGACAGAGAGGGTCCAGGACAGAGAGGGTCCAGGACAGAGAGGGTCCAGGACAGAGAGGGTCCAGGACAGAGAGGATCCAGGACAGAGAGGGTCCAGGACAGAGAGGGTCCAGGACAGAGAGGGTCCAGGACAGAGAGGGACCAGGACAGAGAGGATCCAGGACAGAGAGGGTCCAGGACAGAGAGGATCCAGGACAGAGAGGGTCCAGGACGATCCAGGACAGAGAGGGTCCAGGACAGAGAGGGTCCAGGACAGAGAGGGTCCAGGACAGAGAGGATCCAGGACAGAGAGGGACCAGGACAGAGAGGGTCCAGGACAGAGAGGGTCCAGGACAGAGAGGGTCCAGGACAGAGAGGGTCCAGGACAGAGAGGGTCCAGGACAGAGAGGGTCCAGGACAGAGAGGGTCCAGGACGGAGAGGATTCAGGACAGAGAGGGTCCAGGACGATCCAGGACAGAGAGGGTCCAGGACAGAGAGGGACCACCACCCCGGTCTGAGAGGGACCACCACCTTGGTCTGAGAGGGACCACCATCCCGGTCTAAGAGGGACCACCACCTTGGTCTGAGAGGGACCACCTGAGAGGGACCACCATCCCGGTCTAAGAGGGACCACCACCTTGGTCTGAGAGGGACCACCACCTTGGTCTGAGAGGGACCACCATCCCGGTCTAAGAGGGACCACCATCCCGGTCTGAGAGGGACCACCATCCCGGTCTGAGAGGGACCACCATCCCGGTCTAAGAGGGACCACCACCTTGGTCTGAGAGGGACCACCACCTTGGTCTGAGAGGGACCACCATCCCGGTCTGAGAGGGACCACCATCCCGGTCTAAGAGGGACCACCATCCCAGTCTGAGAGGGACCACCATCCCGGTCTAAGAGGGACCACCATCCCGGTCTAAGAGGGACCACCATCCCGGTCTAAGAGGGACCACTATCCCGGTCTGAGAGGGACCACCATCCCGGTCTGAGAGGGACCACTATCCCGGTCTGAGAGGGACCACCATCCCGGTCTGAGAGGGACCACCATCCCGGTCTGAGAGGGACCACCATCCCGGTCTGAGAGGGACCACCATCCCGGTCTGAGAGGGACCACCATCCCGGTCGACCGATAGTCATGCTCCATGGACCCTCCGAACTCCTCCCTGTCCCTGGTTCTGCCTCTGCAACAGCCCAGTGGGACGCTTGGCTGCCTGGGCCTGAAGCTTCAGTTCAATGTACTGTACTGAAACCTGATTCTGAACAGAATCTATTTCCCATCACTACGACGACCAACTTTGAAAAGGGAAATATTCTGTACCAGTGAGACTGACCTTTGGGGAAGCAGCAGGTTTGACAGTAAACAAGGAGCTTTTGTCGTCTTCATCCTCGTCTTCAAACAGCAGAGCGACTCTCGGACACGTCTTCTGACTGGAAAGGACATCAAGAGGAAGGAAGCCATCTTTATTTATATAGCACCTTTCACAGACCGGGGTCACAGACCGGGGTCACAGACCAGGGTCACAGACCAGGGTCACAGACCGGGGTCACAGACCGGGGTCACAGACCAGGGTCACAGACCGGGGTCACAGATTTATCAACATGTGTGACATTTATCACATGTGTGACATTTATCACATGTGTGACATTTATCACATGTATGACATTTATCACATGTGTGACATTTATCACATGTATGACATTTATCACATGTGTGACATTTATCACATGTGTGACATTTATCACGTATGACATTTATCACATGTGTGACATTTATCACGTATGACATTTATCACATGTGTGACATTTATCACGTGTGACATTTATCACATGTGACATTTATCACGTGTGACATTTATCACATGTGTGACATTTATCACATGTGTGACATTTATCACATGTGTGACATTTATCACATGTGTGACATTTATCACATGTGTGACATTTATCACGTGTGACATTTATCACATGTATGACATTTATCACATGTGTGACATTTATCACATGTGTGACATTTATCACATGTGTGACATTTATCAACATGTGTGACATTTATCACATGTATGACATTTATCACATGTGTGACATTTATCACGTATGACATTTATCACATGTGTGACATTTATCACGTATGACATTTATCACATGTGTGACATTTATCACGTGTGACATTTATCACATGTATGACATTTATCACATGTGTGACATTTATCACATGTGTGACATTTATCAACATGTGTGACATTTATCACATGTGTGACATTTATCAACATGTGTGACATTTATCACATGTGTGACATTTATCACGTGTGACATTTATCACGTATGACATTTATCACGTGTGAGACATTTATCACGTGTGACATTTATCACGTGTGACATTTATCACATGTGTGACATTTATCACGTATGACATTTATCACATGTGTGACATTTATCACGTGTGACATTTATCACATGTATGACATTTATCACGTGTGACATTTATCACATGTGTGACATTTATCACATGTGTGACATTTATCACATGTGTGACATTTATCACATGTGTGACATTTATCACATGTGTGACATTTATCACGTGTGACATTTATCACATGTATGACATTTATCACATGTGTGACATTTATCACGTGTGACATTTATCACATGTATGACATTTATCACATGTGACATTTATCACATGTGTGACATTTATCAACATGTGTGACATTTATCAACATGTGTGACATTTATCAACATGTGTGACATTTATCACATGTATGACATTTATCACATGTGTGACATTTATCACATGTGTGACATTTATCACGTATGACATTTATCACATGTGTGACATTTATCACGTATGACATTTATCACATGTGTGACATTTATCACGTGTGACATTTATCACATGTATGACATTTATCACATGTGTGACATTTATCACATGTGTGACATTTATCAACATGTGTGACATTTATCACATGTGTGACATTTATCAACATGTGTGACATTTATCACATGTGTGACATTTATCACGTGTGACATTTATCACGTATGACATTTATCACGTGTGAGACATTTATCACGTGTGACATTTATCACGTGTGACATTTATCACATGTATGACATTTATCACATGTGTGACATTTATCACATGTGTGACATTTATCACATGTGTGACATTTATCAACATGTGTGACATTTATCACATGTGTGACATTTATCACATGTATGACATTTATCAACATCATGGACATTGGTCTCTCCCTATGGTCCAATAAACATGTGTATATTTTGTGTGTTAACTGTTGATTCTCTGATCTGTGTTGTTCAGTCTCTGGGATGATGCTGTTGTGATTCAGGGAAATACAAGAATAAATAGAATTGTATTGTTTTGTACCTGGAGTCCTGTGGTGGTGCGAACAGGTCGTCCTCATTCACGTCGAACAGGTCGCTCTTCACAGGTGCAGTGACACTGGGTAGACTGCAGGGGGCGCTCACACTGAGCAGACTGCAGGGGGCGCTTACGCTGGACTTCATGCTGCTTTTCTCTGCATTAGAGCTCAGCCACTGGTCCTGACACACAAGGTGAGGATAAGACACATGTTTGAAGTTTGTGTATTTGATACTGTTTTACGTGTTTGTGTGTGTGTCTGTGTGGTGTGTGTCTGTGTGTCGGTGTGTGTGTGTGTCTGTGTCTGTGTGGTGTGTGTCTGTGTGGTGTGTGTGTGTGTGTGTGTGTGCGCGCGCGCGTGTGTGCGTGTGTGTGCGTGTGAGAGAAGCTGGTGGTGTTGTGTAAATCTGGGAGGATTAGAGGAGCTGCAGTACCTCGTCGTCGCTGAAGAGGGTGCTGGAGGCTTTAGTCTGAAGTGCTTTGGGTTTAGATTTAGCAGCTGATGCAAACAAATCCTGCAACACAAGTCCAAGATTCATCAGAGACAGGTCTCAGTCCACAGCAGATAACACCCCTCTGTCAGACTGTACAATGAGGACCGCTGAGACTGGACATGTGCTTTACCTGCTGCTGTTAAATTAATTTGTAAATACCTGAGGCTGGTTAAAAATTAACTAACTCAATTAAATGCATTCGTTTGAGCAGCAGTATAAACCATAATTCACCATGTGTTAGTATACCAGAGAGAGACCAGAGAGAGACCAGAGAGAGACCAGAGAGAGACCAGAGAGAGAGACCAGAGAGAGAGACCAGAGAGAGAGACCAGAGAGAGACCAGAGAGAAACCAGAGAGAAAAACCAGGAGAGACCAGAGAGAGACCAGAGAGAGACCAGAGAGAGACCAGAGAGAGACCAGAGAGAGACCAGAGAGAGACCAGAGAGAGACCAGAGAGAGACCAGAGAGAGACCAGAGAGAGACCAGAGAGAGACCAGAGAGAGACCAGAGAGAGAGACCAGAGAGAGAGACCAGAGAGAGAGACAATAGAGACCAGAGAGAGAGACACAAGAGAGAGAGAGACAAGAGAGAGACAAGAGAGAGACCAGAGAGAGAGACCAGAGAGAGACCAGAGAGAGAGACCAGAGAGAGACAAGAGAGAGAGAGACCAGAGAGAGAGACCAGAGAGAGAGACCAGAGAGACCAGAGAGAGACCAGAGAGAGACAAGAGAGAGACCAGAGAGAGAAACCAGAGAGAGACCAGAGAGAGACCAGAGAGAGAGACCAGAGAGTGAGAGAGACCAGAGAGAGACCAGAGAGAGAGACCAGAGAGAGACAAGAGAGAGACCAGAGAGAGACAAGAGAGAGACCAGAGAGAGAGACCAGAGACCAGAGAGAGAGACCAGAGAGAGAGACCAGAGAGAGACAAGAGAGAGACAAGAGAGAGACCAGAGAGAGAGACCAGAGAGAGACCAGAGAGAGAGAGAGACCAGAGAGAGACAAGAGAGAGAGACCAGAGAGAGAGACCAGAGAGACCAGAGAGAGAGAACAGAGAGAGACCAGAGAGAGACCAGAGAGACAGACCAGTGGGACCCCACCCCATGAGCACAAATTAATTACAATATTGGATTGAGTTATTTAGGACAAAATAAAACTGTAAGAAAGTGTGCTCAGTGCGATCCTGTCAATCATCCGCCGATCAAAGCCTTCTCACCTCTTCGTCCTCCTCCTCCTCATCATCGAATAAGGACACCGCTGGTTTCTTGGTCCTGGTTTGGTTCAGTGTCTCTGGTTTGGACTGGTTTTTGGGGACGGAGGGAAAGACCTGTGAATCCAACACAAACACCTCTGTTAGAAACACAGAGTCACACAGAGTCACACAGAGACACACAGAGACACACAGAGTCACACAGAGTCACACAGAGACACACAGACACACAGAGTCACATAGAGACACACAGAGACACACAGAGTCACACAGAGACACACAGAGTCACACAGAGTCACACAGAGACACACAGAGTCACATAGAGACACACAGAGACACACAGACACACAGAGTCACACAGAGACACACAGAGACACACAGAGTCACACAGAGTCACACAGACACAGAGTCACATAGAGACACACAGAGTCACATAGAGACACACAGAGTCGCAGAGACACACAGAGACACACAGAGTCACATAGAGACACACAGAGACACACAGAGTCACACAGAGACACACAGAGTCACACAGAGTCACACAGAGACACACAGAGTCACATAGAGACACACAGAGACACACAGAGACACACAGACACACAGGGTCACACAGAGACACACAGAGACACACAGAGTCACACAGAGTCACACAGACACACAGAGTCACATAGAGACACACAGAGTCACACGGAGTCGCAGAGACACACAGAGTTACACAGAGTCACACAGAGTCACACAGAGACACACAGAGTCACACAGAGAAACACAGACACACAGAGACACACAGAGAAACACAGACACACACAGAGACACACAGAGTCACACAGAGTCACACAGAGCCCTCACCACAGAGACACACAGTGTCACACAGAACCCTCACCACAGAGACACACAGAGACACACAGAGTCACACAGAGTCACACGGAGTCGCACAGAGTCAGAGTCACACAGAGTCACACAGAGACACACAGAGTCACACGGAGTCGCACAGAGTCACACAGAGACACACAGAGTCACACAGAGACACAGTCACACAGAGTCACACAGAGCCCTCACCACAGAGACACACAGAGACACACAGAGTCACACAAAGTCACACGGAGTCGCACAGAGTCAGAGTCACACAGAGTCACACAGAGTCACACGGAGTCGCACAGAGTCACACAGAGACACACAGAGTCACAAAGAGCCCTCACCACAGAGACACACAGAGACACACAGAGTCACACAAAGTCACACGGAGTCGCACAGAGTCAGAGTCACACAGAGTCACACAGAGACACACAGAGTCACACAGAGTCACACAGAGTCAGAGTCACACAGAGTTACACAGAGTCACACAGAGTCACACGGAGTCGCACAGAGTCGCACAGAGTCACACAGAGTCACACAGAGCCCTCACCACAGAGTCACACAGAGTCACACAGAGCCCTCACCACAGAGTCCTCATCATCTGAGAACAAGCCTCCAGACTTTGCCGCTGAGCTCTTCTCTGGGGAAAGTCCGTTCTGAGAAACACCAGAGCAGATTGTTCAGAGATCGTTCTAGAGCCAGGGATTGTTGCATTTTGCTGAAAACTAAAGATGCTGTAAATCTAAAGCTCAGAGGAAATAATAAAAACATTGTTGGATTCATTATTTAAATAAATGAACATATTATTTCTGCAAACATGAAATCATTTGGAGACGAGCGGCCAGTTCATGTTCGAGAGCGAGATTAGATTCTCCAGCAGAACACTGATACTTTACTGATCCCTGAAGGGTCCAGCAAAAACACATCCATCCACACAAACAAAATAAACTCTTTATAGATAATTATCTAGAAAGAGATAATAAATAAAAGAAAACAATAGTAATAATCGACAACAGTCCTTCAGGTCTCAGCAGCAGAGGAGGAGCTGCTGGTTTCAGACCGTTTTCTCTGCTCTAGTCCAAAGTAAAATGCTAAATGCTTCATTAGCATTTTTCATAAAGTTAGCATTCCTCCAGTGGATTCTCTCCTGATGCACTTGGTTTGGACCATGAATCCTCTCTGCGCTGGTCTGGACCAGTGTAAAACCATGAATCCTCTCTGCGCTGGTCTGGACCAGTGTAAAACCATGAATCCTCTCTGCGCTGGTCTGGACCAGTGTAAAACCATGAATCCTCTCTGCTCTGGTCTGGACCAGTGTAAAACCATGAATCCTCTCTGCTCTGGTCTGGACCAGTGTAAAACCATGAATCCTCTCTGCTCTGGTCTGGACCAGTGTAAAACCATGAATCCTCTCTGCGCTGGTCTGGACCAGTGTAAAACCATGAATCCTCTCTGTGCTGGTCTGGACCAGTGTAAAACCATGAATCCTCTCTGCTCTGGTCTGGACCAGTGTAAAACCATGAATCCTCTCTGCTCTGGTCTGGACCAGTGTAAAACCATGAATCCTCTCTGCTCTGGTCTGGACTAGTGTAAAACCATGAATTTGTGTGTGTGAGAACCTTGTGAGGACCAGTCACTCACCACTGCAGCGTTGTCATCGTCGTCTGAGAACAGGCCTCTGCTCTGAGGTTTTGGAGAAGACTTTGATTCTGGAGCGAAGCCGTTCTGAAACACACCAGAGACAGATTAAACATCTCAGAACAAACAGGTTTGATGTCTGCGGCTTCAGCAGCGGCGAGTTCAGGTATTAGAAAAGTGACTAACATTACACTTCAGTACTACTTTTAGAACATAATCCACGCAATAACTTAAGAAAGAATTCAGTTTTGCCCCTAACCTAACCTAACAAACTTTCAGCTGTGAGTAAAAATCCATCATTGGCAAATGTTTTGAACACGGCATCACAGACGGATGTCTGAACAAACACTTTCTACTCAGTTTGTAACAAATGTTTTATTTCCATCTGGAGAAATGTGGACTAGAAATGGATTAGAGGAAAGAAGATGGGTGGATTCCATGATTACCAAGATGTGAGGAGGACCACAAAACAATCTCTGAGATGTTGAGATACCTTTCCTAAAACAATCTTTGAGATGTTGAGATACATTTCCTAAAACAATCTCTGAGATGTTGAGATACATTTCCTAAAACAATCTCTGAGATGTTGAGATACATTTCCTAAAACAATCTGAGATGTTGAGATACATTTCCTAAAACAATCTGAGATGTTGAGATACATTTCCTAAAACAATCTGAGATGTTGAGATACATTTCCTAAAACAATCTGAGATGTTGAGATACATTTCCTAAAACAATCTGAGATGTTGAGATACATTTCCTAAAACAATAAACAATCTGAGATGTTGAGATACATTTCCTAAAACAATTTGAGATGTTGAGATACATTTCCTAAAACAATCTGAAATGTTGAGATACATTTCCTAAAACAATCTGAGATGTTGAGATACATTTCCTAACATATTAAAGATATAGGACTGGTTCAGACCTGCTGCTTCTTCAGTCCTTCAGACAGGAGGCTCTTAGTCCCAGGACCGAACAGAGACACAGCTCCTGCAGGCATCTGACCACACAGAGACACACAGAGAGACATAGAGAGATAAAGAGACACACAGATACACGCAAAAAGACACACAGAGACACACAGAGATACAGAGACACAGATACACGCAAAAAGACACACAGAGACACACAGAGATACAGAGACACACAGAGATAAAGAGACACACAGAGACACACACACAGAGACACACACAGAGACATACACAAGTTCATATTATTTGCCATTTGCAGTATAACACATTCGAATACATGTGCACCAGTCCTCAGTGTGCAGCAGACAAGTGCAGGAATATAACAAGGCCAGTCCCTGTGCTCCTCAGAGTCCCAGCAGAAGGCCAGTCCCTGTGCTCCTCAGAGTCCCAGCAGGAGGCCAGTCCCTGTGCTCCTCAGAGTCCCAGCAGGAGGCCAGTCCCTGTGCTCCTCAGAGTCCCAGCAGGAGGCCAGTCCCTGTGCTCCTCAGAGTCCCAGCAGGAGGCCAGTCCCTGTGCTCCTCAGAGTCCCAGCAGGAGGCCAGTCCCTGTGCTCCTCAGAGTCCCAGCAGGAGGCCAGTCCCTGTGCTCCTCAGAGTCCCAGCAGGAGGCCAGTCCCTGTGCTCCTCAGAGTCCCAGCAGGAGGCCAGTCCCTGTGCTCCTCAGAGTCCCAGCAGGAGCCCAGTCCCTGTGCTCCTCAGAGTCCCAGCAGGAGGCCAGTCCCTGTGCTCCTCAGAGTCCCAGCAGAAGGCCAGTCCCTGTGCTCCTCAGAGTCCCAGCAGGAGGCCAGTCCCTGTGCTCCTCAGAGTCCCAGCAGGAGGCCAGTCCCTGTGCTCCTCGGAGTTGGTTCATATGGGACTAAAATATCAGACATTGTACTTTGGTGAGAGGCCATGGAGAGACTTGCAGAGACCTGAGACCAGGACTAATGTGAGAGGACTTCAGGACAGAGACCTGAGACCAGGACTAATGTGAAAGGACTTCAGGACAGAGACCTGGGACCAGGACTAATGTGAGAGGACTTCAGGACAGAGACCTGAGACCAGGACTAATGTGAGAGGACTTCAGGACAGAGACCTGAGACCAGGACTAATGTGAGAAGACTTCAGGACAGAGACCTGAGACTAGGACTAATGTGAGAGGACTTCAGGACAGAGACCTGAGACCAGGACTAATTGGAGAGGACTTCAGGACAGAGACCTGAGACCAGGACTAATGTGAGAAGACTTCAGGACAGAGACCTGAGACCAGGACTAATGTGAGAGGACTTCAGGACAGAGACCTGAGACCAGGACTAATGTGAGAGGACTTCAGGACAGAGACCTGAGACCAGGACTAATGTGAGAAGACTTCAGGACAGAGACCTGAGACCAGGACTAATGCGAGAGGACTTCAGGACAGAGACCTGAGACCAGGACTAATTGGAGAGGACTTCAGGACAGAGACCTGAGACCAGGACTAATGTGAGAGGACTTCAGGACAGAGACCTGAGACCAGGACTAATGTGAGAGGACTTCAGGACAGAGACCTGAGACCAGGACTAATGTGAGAGGACTTCAGGACAGAGACCTGAGACCAGGACTAATGTGAGAGGACTTCAAGACAGAGACCTGAGACCAGGACTAATGTGAAAGGACTTCAGGACAGAGACCTGAGACCAGGACTAATGTGAGAGGACTTCAGGACAGAGACCTGAGACCAGGACTAATGTGAAAGGACTTCAGGACAGAGACCTGAGACCAGGACTAATGTGAGAGGACTTCAGGACAGAGACCTGAGACCAGGACTAATGTGAGAGGACTTCAGGACAGAGACCTGAGACCAGGACTAATGTGAGAGGACTTCAGGACAGAGACCTGAGACCAGTACTAATGTGAGAGGACTTCAGGACAGAGACCTGAGACCAGGACTAATGTGAGAGGACTTCAGGACAGAGACCTGAGACCAGGACTAATGTGAAAGGACTTCAGGACAGAGACCTGAGACCAGGACTAATGTGAGAGGACTTCAGGACAGAGACCTGAGACCAGGACTAATGTGAGAGGACTTCAGGACAGAGACCTGAGACCAGGACTAATATGAGAGGACTTCAGGACAGAGACCTGAGACCAGGACTAATGTGAGAGGACTTCAGGACAGAGACCTGAGACCAGGACTAATGTGAGAGGACTTCAGGACAGAGACCTGAGACCAGGACTAATGTGAGAGGACTTCAGGACAGAGACCTGAGACCAGGACTAATGTGAAAGGACTTCAGGACAGAGACCTGAGACCAGGACTAATGTGAGAGGACTTCAGGACAGAGACCTGAGACCAGGACTAATGTGAGAGGACTTCAGGACAGAGACCTGAGACCAGGACTAATGTGAGAGGACTTCAGGACAGAGACCTGAGACCAGGACTAATGTGAGAGGACTTCAGGACAGAGACCTGAGACCAGGACTAATGTGAGAGGACTTCAGGACAGAGACCTGAGACCAGGACTAATGTGAGAGGACTTCAGGACAGAGACCTGAGACCAGGACTAATGTGAGAGGACTTCAAGACAGAGACCTGAGACCAGGACTAATGTGAGAGGACTTCAGGACAGAGACCTGAGACCAGGACTAATGTGAGAGGACTTCAGGACAGAGACCTGAGACCAGGACTAATGTGAAAGGACTTCAGGACAGAGACCTGAGACCAGGACTAATGTGAGAGGACTTCAGGACAGAGACCTGAGACCAGGACTAATATGAGAGGACTTCAGGACAGAGACCTGAGACCAGGACTAATGTGAGAGGACTTCAGGACAGAGACCTGAGACCAGGACTAATGTGAGAGGACTTCAGGACAGAGACCTGAGACCAGGACTAATGTGAGAGGACTTCAGGACAGAGACCTGAGACCAGGACTAATGTGAAAGGACTTCAGGACAGAGACCTGAGACCAGGACTAATGTGAGAGGACTTCAGGACAGAGACCTGAGACCAGGACTAATGTGAGAGGACTTCAGGACAGAGACCTGAGACCAGGACTAATGTGAGAGGACTTCAGGACAGAGACCTGAGACCAGGACTAATGTGAGAGGACTTCAGGACAGAGACCTGAGACCAGGACTAATGTGAGAGGACTTCAGGACAGAGACCTGAGACCAGGACTAATGTGAGAGGACTTCAGGACAGAGACCTGAGACCAGGACTAATGTGAGAGGACTTCAGGACAGAGACCTGAGACCAGGACTAATGTGAGAGGACTTCAGGACAGAGACCTGAGACCAGGACTAATGTGAGAGGACTTCAGGACAGAGACCTGAGACCAGGACTAATGTGAGAGGACTTCAGGACAGAGACCTGAGACCAGGACTAATGTGAGAGGACTTCAGGACAGAGACCTGGGACCAGGACTAATGTGAGAGGACTTCAGGACAGAGACCTGGGACCAGGACTAATGTGAGAGGACTTCAGGACAGAGACCTGAGACCAGGACTAATGTGAGAGGACTTCAGGACAGAGACCTGAGACCAGGACTAATGTGGGAGGACTTCAGGACAGAGACCTGAGACCAGGACTAATGTGAGAGGACTTCAGGACAGAGACCTGAGACCAGGACTAATAGGAGAGGACTTCAGGACAGAGACCTGGGACCAGGACTCGAGCTGACGTCATGTAACTGAATAATCTATAACTTTTGTATCCATTGTTGATCTGTAGTAAGTTTACACCTCCTCAGAAGTGACTAACGCCACAGGATGAAAGGTGAGTAGATACATAATACACATACAGGGTGTACACAACTCACACACACACACAGGTGTACACACACAACACACACATACAGTAAGGTACAGTACCTTCTTCTGAGGAGGCTTCTCTTGTGGTGCTTCCTCTTCCCTCTTGCTGTGAGGGCTGGACTTGTCACTGAACAGGTCTTCATCCTCGTCTTCGAACAGGTCCACAGCTCGTTTGGATTTAGTTTCTTTCACTGGGAACAGGAAGTGGACACTTTTAGGACAAAGTCTGGGTTTGCTCTGGAAATATACACCTGAGGTTTAAGTTCCCCCTCTGCTTTGGTCTATTGTATTTGAATAATTCCAGTTCTGTGCTGGGAGCATTAAGAAGTGTGTTATTCAGAGGGTCCTCACAGACTCAGAGGGTCCTCACAGGCTCAGAGGGTCCTCACAAGCTCAGAGGGTCCTCACAGGCTCAGAGGGTCCTCACAGACTCAGAGGGTCCTCACAGACTCAGAGGGTCCTCACAGGCTCAGAGGGTCCTCACAGGCTCAGAGGGTCCTCACAGGCTCAGAGGGTCCTCACAGACTCAGAGGGTCCTCACAGACTCAGAGGGTCCTCACAAGCTCAGAGGGTCCTCACAAGCTCAGAGGGTCCTCACAGGCTCAGAGGGTCCTCACAGGCTCAGAGGGTCCTCACAGACTCAGAGGGTCCTCACAGACTCAGAGGGTCCTCACAGGCTCAGAGGGTCCTCACAAGCTCAGAGGGTCCTCACAGGCTCAGAGGGTCCTCACAGGCTCAGAGGGTCCTCACAGACTCAGAGGGTCCTCACAGGCTCAGAGGGTCCTCACAGGCTCAGAAGGTCCTCACAGGCTCAGAGGGTCCTCACAGACTCAGAGGGTCCTCACAGGCTCAGAGGGTCCTCACAAGCTCAGAGGGTCCTCACAGGCTCAGAGGGTCCTCACAGGCTCAGAAGGTCCTCACAGGCTCAGAGGGTCCTCACAGGCTCAGAGGGTCCTCACAAGCTCAGAGGGTCCTCACAGACACAGAGGGTCCTCACAGACTCAGAGGGTCCTCACAGGCTCAGAGGGTTAGAGTTAGAGTTAGGGTCCTTACAGACTCGGAGGGTCCTCACAGACACAGAGGGTCCTCACAGACTCAGAGGGTCCTCACAGGCTCAGAGGGTCCTCACAGGCTCAGAGGGTCCTCACAGGCTCAGAGGGTCCTCACAGGCTCAGAGGGTCCTCACAGACTCAGAGGGTCCTCACAGGCTCAGAGGGTCCTCACAGGCTCAGAGGGTTAGAGTTAGGGTCCTCACAGACACAGAGGGTCCTCACAGACACAGAGGGTCCTCACAGACACAGAGGGTCCTCACAGACACAGAGGGTCCTCACAGACTCAGAGGGTCCTCACAGGCTCAGAGGGTCCTTACAGGCTCAGAGGGTCCTCACAGGCTCAGAGGGTCCTCACAGGCTCAGAGGGTCCTCACAGACACAGAGGGTCCTCACAGACACAGAGGGTCCTCACAGACACAGAGGGTCCTCACAGACTTAGAGGGTCCTCACAGGCTCAGAGGGTCCTTACAGACTCAGAGGGTCCTCACAGGCTCAGAGGGTTAGAGTTAGGGTCCTCACCAGGTTCAGAGCTTTGGACCGAGGGCCCAGTGAAGAAGTCATCGTCCTCTTCGTCAAACAGCCCTCCTCCAGGGGGCGCTCTAACAGCAGGAGCACCGTTCTCTTTACTCAGCTCGGGCCTCAGCTCGGGCCCAGAACCAAACAAACTATTTTCTACGCACAAAAGGACAGTTTGAATAAGAGGAAGTATTTGTTTATGAATTTTAAATAAGTGCACGGATGAATCAATAGGTTCTACCTGGGAATATGGAGACTCCTCCCACTGGAACCTTCTTTCCAGACTTGGTGGAATCTAAAACAAAAACATTTTTCAAACACAGAATATGAAAGTTTAGACCATAGTTAAAACTGAGGAACCCAACCATCACCGCCCAACAAACTAATAAGACCCATAAAACCCGTTTCTGACACTAAGACAGTTCCATTAGTTTTCACAAACTTGTATTTTGTAGTGGAGGGAAAAACATTTATTCCGTTCAGTATCGCGATATTCTGTTCAGTATCGCAATATTCTGTTCAGTATCGCAATATTCTGTTCAGTATCGCGATATTCTGTACAGTATCGCAATATTCTGTTCACTCAAATAAATGGATACAGAAGCAAAGTATTGTGCAATTTAATCATCCCATTGAGGCCGGGAACGCATTCCCGCCTTTCTCCCTTTCAAGCCGGGAGCGCTGTTGTGCACTTCTACCTTTAAGGCCGGGAAAGCGGACACGTCTTTTTTTCATTCTTTGACCTATTTTCTTCATTGATCAATTCTCTGAACCAATGAAATGTATCAAGATATACCTGTGATGAGAATTATATGCGGATCCGCGAATTCCGAAATGCTGAAAATGTAATTTTGGTGAAATGTGTGACCGCGGGCAGTTGTTTGCGTTACGTACTCGAACGGGATTAACATCCGCCGCTCTGACCCCGGGAGCAACAGTGGCTGCTTTGACAGCTCAGCGAACGCACTGCCACAGGGTCATGGACCGAGCACGGACCATAGACCATAGATCAGGACCGAGGGGGAGACTGGGGAGACCCGCACGTGCAGCAAGCTCCCTCCCTTGTCTCTCCCCCGTCTCTCCCTTGTCTCCCCGAAGTCTCTAGACTCACTGAAAAATAAAGCTCAGCTACCTACATTTTCGCTTGCATTGACAATGCATGTTTTTTGGGGAAAAAATTAAATGTTGTGACCAAATCAAACAGAACAAACCAAAACAGTCGTGTCTTGTTTATTTTGCTTACTTTAGAAAGAGCCTTGTGAGTCATTATTTGACTTTTTGGGCTGAGAGTGGATTTTTTATATTTTTTTCCACATAGTTAGTGCCACTTTATTGCCAAACTCTTTTTGACTTAATGCATTGAGAAACATGTGTTAGTCTCTGTCAATGGAGTATGTTATTGTGTTATTATCATATTAATAAATGTAACGTTTAGTCTAGTATGGATCTAAAAACTAGTAGTAAGCAGAGTGAAGAATGTGTGAAACCATCCCCCAGCCATGAAACACAGGAAGTTAAATTAAGGCAAGAACGCAGAGAACATCTGTTTAGAGTAGCCTCAGGCTTACTTTGAGAGGGGCTACTGTTTGTCCTGAAACAGAGAAGGTATTGTCTTCACCTAAGGATGTTGGGACATATGTCTTCAATTATCATGTCATGTGACTGTGCGCTTATCATCGATAGCCTGTTCCTGAAGCGGGGTTCTTTTGCTTTGGGTTTGCCAGGGAGAGGGCCCAGACTGGAGCACCAGTCTGCTACATTTGTCTGTATCCTGTATTCTGTATTCTGTCTTTTATATATTAAACCTTTTTATATATCTAAGCAGAATTTGTAGTGTCCATTCATCATCGAAGGATAAACCGTGGCTGAACCAGCGTTAACATATTTTGGTCCTTCTTGAGCCGGATGTCAAAACATCATTTTTTTCGGAGCTGAACATCATTCCAACTGGAGATCTGACATATTTTGGTCCTTCTTGAGCCGTATGTCAAAACATCATTTTTTGGAGCTGACCGTCGTCCTACAGTACTGGAGATCTGAAACAGCAGCGTGGCTTGGAGGTTGCAGGTCGAAAAACAACTGCAGCAACAGTCTCTGTGTGGGGTTTGATCAGCTTCGAATTTCGGATTGAAGACACAAAAGCCACGGACATCGCGATAACAGGCAAGTGTGAATTTACTTTTGAAGTCGGGGACTCAAAAAAGAGGCCGGGGATAACGAGGCTTTTCCTTTTAATAGTCGAGGGCTATTTCTTAGGCCTAGGATAACGGGGGTTATCCTTCTAATAGTCGGGGAGCTATTAAAGACAGTCAAGGGGCGGCCCAGAATAACAACAGGTTATTCTTTTAGATAGTCTGGGACTATCATAGACTGTATAATAACGGGGTTATTATTAAGAGTAAGTCGGGGACTACTTTTTACTGCAGTTAAAAGTGAACGGGGTTCATTTTGAATTAAAGACGTCTGTGTGAATGTGTGTGTGAAAGAAGATCAATCTACACTTGAAGCACCGGACAACCAGAAACCTTGCGGTGATAACAAAAAGTTGTCGACTTGGTGAAGTAGAGTCGGATTGCATCTCATTATGTTTTAAGTAATCGTGAAAGTGGTCTAAAACAATTACATTCCTTGTGATTAAACACCCGGGAGAAACCGGATGAAACCTTAAGTTTTATCTAGAAGCTTGTTTCTCGAGGAAGTGATTTGGCCCGTGAGGCATTCCACTAAGATCGTTTACAAATGTGTAATTAATATCCACTGTTGTATAAGCAATAGTTATTAAATAGAATTGAAGATATCTAAGTAATTTACTAAAGAGTAAATATGGGTTCATCTTGTACTAAAACGGTAGATCTAAAAGGAGATCCTAAGTTTATGCAGAGAAAAAATCCTGAATCAGTTAAGTATTTAAAAAACTGGAAGAAGAAGTATGGGTTTGAAGGTAAACTAACACTAAAAGAGTGTGAAATACTGGTGATGAAAGTTAGTTTAGGACTTAAATCCAAAAAGTTGCCATCAGAAAAACAATTGCATGAGCAGAAAATGGCAGAGCTGTGGTTAGTTGCAGCAAAGTGTAGGGATAAGCAAATTAAAGAGAAGAAGAGTGAAACGAGCCTAGTTGCCTTTACAACAGAAGAAGACAATTTGGTCCAGGCAGGGAGGCGCCATGTGCAGCAGCAGCAGCAGCAGCAGCAGCAGCAGCAGCAGCAGCAGCAGCAGCAGCAGCAGCACCAGCAGCAGCAGCAGCAGCAGCAGCAGCAGCAGCAGCAGCAGCAGCAGCAGCAGCAGCACCAGCAGCAGCAGCAGCAACAGCAGCAGCAGCAGCACCAGCAGCAGCAGCAGCAGCAGGCTGTAGTACAGGCTCATAACCACACAGCAGCACCACCTCAATATACCCCACTGCAACAGACAACAAATCTATTCCCAGATAATTCTGTAAAACTGCAGGATAGTTTGTATCCACATGCAGAGCTAGAAGCAGCAGCACAGCCACAAGTCTGTGATGTACAAACACCTGTTGCTACTAGATCACGGCATCCAATGAACGCGTCTTGGAGCAAAAGTTTTGGGAACCTTTTCAGTCCAAGGTTTGACTTCTCAGAGCGAGGTGCAGATGCATTCCCAATGATAGAAGTCCCAAATCCCACTCATGATCCACAAGTGGTTGGAAGTTTGCCTACTATGTATGTCTTTCGTACTTGGACGAAAGCAGACATAATTAAAGCCACAGAAAGTGTCCCAAGCCATAGAGAAGACCCAGATGGATTTTGCGATGGTATGAGACAACTGGTGGACATGTATAGGCTTAACGGAATTGAAATTAGGGACATTTACATGACGAAAATGGGAGTTGATTGGACAAGATGCAGACAGCATTATAACCCAAATGATAATGCAAACCCACCTGTGCTTCCTCCTGCAGCAGACCCACTCATTAATGATAGATTAAATACTCTACATAATCAAATCAGAGAAATGTTCAAAACTTTACCTGACTATGGGAAGTTAGCTCAGGTAAGACAAATGGAGGATGAGACAGTAGTAGATTTTAGAGTGCGGTTTGAAACAGCCTTTAGAAAACACAGTGGGTTGAGGGACAATAATGCAGCGGAGCGTGTAATTTGGGATCAACAGTTTAAACAAGGGATGTTGGCTAATTTAAGACCAGAAGTCTCTGAATGGATAAAGAGAAATTTTGTTGGATTGCCTACTGCGACGCTGCCTGATTTCATAACACATGCTATTCATGCTGAAGTGGTTGCTAGAAATAAAAAGAGAAATAAAGAGAGAGAAGAGCAAGCCAGATCAGTAGATTCTTTCTTGCAAGATTTAGGAGACTTGTGTTACCAGAGAGCACAAGGCCAATCAGCAAGGAGGGAGCAGAATAGAGGCAGAGGTCAAAGCAGAGGGAGGGGGCAGATGAAGACTAGGAGAGAGAGAAAGTTGGACAAAAGCAATGATTATTGTTACATATGCAAAAAGAAAGGACATTGGGCGAGAGAATGTGAAGCATGGGCCAGAGAATGTGAAGCAAGTTCAGATGAGGACAAGAGAGAAGAATATGTAGAAAAAAAAGGGAGAAATCAAAAACATCACAATGCATGACTAGGGAGTCAAAACAAAACTAAAGTTCTGACAAAAAGTAATGATGAAACAGTGAAAATTCCAAATTTAAAAATGACTTCCATAATTGAAAATGAAAATGGATATGATTCTGATTTGGCAAAGCAATGTGATGAGGTTATAGATTTTACTCAATTAGATATGTTCATGTGTCTAAACCAGAAATAACACTTTACATTGAAGAAAGGCCCTATGTGTTCCTTTGTGATTCTGGAGCGGATAAAACAGTGATTAGGGATGTGAGCAATATACCCATTTCAAAAAACTCAATCACAGCGAGATCAGCTAATGGGTTAGTGCAAAAACAAAATTTGAGTCAGTTGATTACCATAACCAATCCAGAAACAGGCGATGAAGCCATGCTGAAAGTGGTTCTCTCACCGCTGTGCCCGTACAATCTACTAGGACGTGATGCTATGGTTGCATTAAAAATGGGAATATTTCCAAACAAAAATGGAAATATGGAAGCTAGGCGCTGTAGCAACACTGATATCCATGTCCTAGAAGGGGAGGGATCAGTATTGTATTGTTGGACTTTGGACATGCCGACAAGTGACCCTGGAGAATCAGGGAAAGAAATTGTAAAAAGGGCAAAACAGGCATTAAATCCAAGTGCCATTGTCAAACAACATGATGAGTTACATGTCACTCTGAGATTTAAAACAACTCCAG